AAAGATGGAATGTGAGAGAGGGAGACAGTGGAAGTTGACCTACACACACACACACACACACACACACACACACACACACACACACGAGAAAGAACTAAAAGCTATAGTTCCAAAAAGTTTACAATAGTGCTATGTTTGTTTTGTGCTTTTTGTTTGTTTGTTTTTCTGTTTCGGGTTTTTTTTTTTTTCCCCAAGACAGGGTCTCAGATAATTTAGGCTGGTCTTGAACTCCCTAAATAGTTAAAGATGACCTTGAACTTCTTTCTGATCCTCTTGCCTCTACCTCCCAAGTGCTGGGATTACAGGTGTCTGATTCTTGTGCTAACAGTGAGAGAGAGAGAGAGAGAGAGAGAGAGAGAGAGAGTCTGTGTGTCTGTGTACTCCTGCATGTGTGCTCAGGCCAGAAGCTGACATCAGCTGTGTTCCATGATCAATCTCTACTGTATATTAAAAAATTTTCTTATGTGTATTGTGTTGGGTGCATATATGCCACAGTGTGTATGTGGAGGTCAGAGGACAATTTGCTGGAGTCAGTTTCCTCCTTTCACCATGTGGGTCATCAGGCTTGGTGACTGACACCTTTACTCACTGAGCCATCTCACTGTCCCCTCCACTGTATCTTTTGAGAGAAGGTTTCTGACAGAACCCAATGCTCACACCAACTGCCTAGACTGGCTGGCCAATGAGCTCCAGGGAGCTGTGTATCTGTACATACACACACACACACACACACACACACACACACACTCCCTGCCTCAGTGTTGGGGTTACAAATGTGAGTAACTACATCCAGCTTATACGTGGGTGTCAGGGATCTGAACTGAGGCCTCATGCTTGCATACAGACACGTAATCAACTGAGACATTTCTCCATGTCCCCAGTGTGCTGACCTTGGCTGCTCCAGACAAAACAATGGAACATTAGTCATCAAAATCATGACAGAAATAGCAGCAGAAAATTCAAAGAGTAACAAGGCATGCTGCTGGGTGTGTCCTCCCAGCACTTAGGAAGTAGAAGCAAGAGGACTGAGTTCAAGGAAAGCCTGGGCTCATTACATGAGACCCTGTCCCCCAAAAAAACAAGAAAAGAAGAGGAGGAGGAGAAGAAGAGGAGGAGGAGGAAGAGGAGGAGGAGGCCATACAACATGTAAAATGTAGATGATAAGGTGAATGGTGTAAAATAGGGATTGGTGGGTCAATGAGATGCCTCAGTAGGTAAAGGTGCTTGCCACCAAGTATAACACTCCAAATTCAATCTCTGGAATCCACAAGAACCCAAAGAACTCCCAAAAGTTGTCCTCTGACCTCTAAATTTGAGCCATGGCACACATGTACCCCCTACCTCTGCCAAGACACACAATGTAAAAAGAAAAGGGATTGGTGATCTGAGAATGGAAATGGACTGAATAACTAATCCTTTGTGTCAAGAAAAAAGAAACAAAGAATTAATGCTATTGAGATATTGTAATTACTACTACAATGAAGATCTGTTCAGGAAAGTCTCCAAAGTTCTGATGGTTAATTGTCACTGTCAATTTGACTAGATTTAGAATCACCTAGGAAACAAGCCCCTGGGTATGTTAGTGAGGAAGTTTCCAGAAAGGTTTAACCAAGATGGGAAGCCTGGGCTTGAATGTGGTAGCACCATCCCATGGACTGGGGTCCTGGACTGAATAAAAGAAAGTGAGCTGAGCACCAGCATTCATCTCTCTCTGCTTCCTGACTGTGGATGCCATGTGACCAGCTGTCTCACGTTCCTGCCACCATGCCCTCTCCACCATCATGGACTACGGACTGCACCTGTGAATTGTGAACCAGAATAAATCCTTCTCCCTAGGTTTCTTCTTCTCTAGTATTTTTTTACAGCAACAAGAAAAGTAACAGAAGTTTTTATGAATCAGGATTATTCTAATATGACTCAGCAGTTAAGAGTACATACTGCTGCTCTCCAGAGGACTTTAGTTTGGTTCCCAGCACCTATATCAGGTAGTTCACAACTGCCTGTAACTCCAGATCCAGTAGTATCTGATATGTCTGACCTCCTTGGGCACCTGTACTCATATGCACATACCCACAGATGTATACATAATAAAAACATTGAAAAAATAAAAGAACTGTGCAGGACTGGAGAAATGGCTCAGCGGTTAAAAGCACTTGCTGCTCTTTCAAAGGTCCCGGGTGTGGTTCCCAGCACCCATGTCATCCAGCTCTCAACCATCTGTAACTGCTAAGGCAAGAATAGCATAACAAGACCCAATCAATCAATCAATCAATCAATCAATCAATCAATCAGTAAAATGGTTAACTCCCAGGTTTCAACACCAAAAAAAAACCAAACAAATTAAAAAGCTAAAAATCAAAACTATCCATTTTATCAGGGAATATATTACTAATTTTTTTAAATTCAAACATGTTAATTTAAAACTGTTTTGCTTTACAAAGATAATATTGGAAGTTGAATAATACTGGAGAGATGCTCAGCATTAATAGCACTGGCTGCTCTTGCAGAGGACCTGGGGTTTGGTTTCCAGCATCCACTTGGCAGCTAACTCCAGTTTCAGGGGATCCATCTGCAACTCCAGTTTCAGGGGATCTGATACCTTCTTCTGGCCTACATGAGCATTGCACATACGTGGTGCACTTACATGCATACAGGAAAAACACTCATACACATAAAATACAAATAAATAAGTTTTTAAAAGTAAAGTCCTAATCCATGCAGATGATAATTCTTACCCATGGAAGTAATACTCCCATAGTTCTCCTTCCTGCCATCCCTATAAAGAGACTTCTGGGACTGGTCCAAATGTCCCCATTCCTCCAGGATGAAGGACACAGCTACATCAGCCACATCTTCAATTTTCACCAACTTCTGAAACGGGAGATCTCTGCTAAATTCCTACTCCCTAGGTTCAAATCTGGAGTGAGAGAAAGACCTGGGAGCACTAAGGACAGAATCAGGAGACACTGTGCACCAAAAAGGGAAGTATTGAGCAGAAAGGAAAAAGACAGAGGGAATGGATGGATGGTTCCAACCCCAGATGGGCCTGGATGCAAGTTAAAGACTGGTAAAGATGACGTCATATTTTTCAACTTGACACAACCTAGAATCACCTGGGAAGTAAGTCTCAACAAAGGATTGTCTAGATCAGGTTGGCTTGTGGGCATGTCTGGGCGGGGTCTTTGCTTAACTGGGTTTACTGAGGTGAGACAATCCAGCCCACTGTGAGCGAATTTGTCAACGCCTTGGCTCCTGGACTGTGTCAGAGTAGAGAAAGCCTGCACAGCATGAGGCATGCGTGCATTCCCTTCTCTCTGCTCTTGACTAAGGGTGTGATCTGAATGGCTGGTCCAAGCAACTTTCCCAGTGCTGGCCTGTAACCTGGAATTGTGAGCTAAAACAAACCTTTTCTTCCCTAAGCTTTCTTTGTCGGGGTATTTTGTCACAGCAAGTGAAAACAAAACTAGGACGGATGGGGATGGAAGTGGAGAAGAGGGATGGGTCTTCACGGAGGGCAGAGGAGTGCCAGCTCACCTGGGACCCAGTTGAGAGGAGTGAGGCTGTCAATTCCTGGCTGTCCTTCAAGGGAAGGGAAGGAACTTGGAGAACAGGAAGGGCTGAAGGAAGAGAAAAGAGGTGTAAGTGAGAGCATCTGCTCAGGAGCCATCAAGTCCCTTCTCTGCGCACACGCAGACACCGACCCCTTGTGTACCAAGGCCAAATCCACCTTGGCTCTCGAGACCCTACACATTCTGGTTCTGTCCATATTTATCTTCTTATTCCTCCTTCTCCAAAAAAACCAGACTCCCACACTGGTCAAGTGAATCCCTACTGGGCCATGCCACCACTATCACAGTAGTTCCTGGGGCCCAGGGCTTTACAGACTGCAATGTTAAACAAGTCACCTCAAGATCTCAGTGCAGAGCACACTCTGTCTCTAGACCCAAGATTTTGGCTCATTTTTTTTAAGACCGGGTCTCCCTATAGCCTGTGCTGGCCTGGAACTTACTCAAACTCACAGAGATCCATCAAGGATCTGTCTCTGCCTTCTGGGATTAAAGGTGTGTGATACCATGCCCAGCATTTTTTTTTTTTTTCTTTTTGAGACAGGGTCTCCTAGGTTGGCCTTGAACTCACTATGTAGCCAAGACTGGCCTTGAACTCTTGACCCTTGTGCCTCTTCATCGCATGTACTGGGATGACAGGCATACAGCCCTCATTTCTTTTTGTTGTTTTGGTTCTTAGACAGGGGCTTACTATGTGGCCCAGCCTAGCCTGGAACTCTGAAGCCTCCTGCCTCAGGTTCAGTACTGGATTACAGGCTTGTGACACCACACCTCAGTGACAATTTGCATTTCTAACAAGCTCCCAGGTGAGGGTTGTGTGGCTATTTCACAGTTTGGATTAGCAAAGGCCTCCATCCACAATCTCTCTCTTCAAGGAATTTTCTGGTTCATTTATATTTACTCAAAAAAACACATTAGTTTTACTCAGTATTATAAAGAAAAGGAAGATAAGCTGGGAGTCCTGGCACACATCTATAATCCCAGCACTCAGGAGGGAGGTAGAGGTAGGAAGATCAAGAGAGCCAGGCCAGCCTAGGGAATGTGAGGCTACCCTGGGCTACAAGAGGCCTGCTTTCAACCACCACCACCTTTCACACACAAAAGAATAGGTAGATAAAACAATTATAAAAAAATATTTTATTTATCATTTTTATTTTATGTGCATGAATGTATTGCTTGCATGTACATAAGTGCACCATGTCCTGCAATACCCACAGCAGTCAGAGGAGGGTATCGGATTCCCCTGAAACTGGAGTTAGGACGGTTGTTAGCCATCATGTGGGTGCTGGGACTCGAACCCAGGTCCTCTACAAGAGCAACCACTGCTCTGAATCCCTGAGTCATCTCTTGGGCCCCAGTAAAATAATTCTTGACTTCCAAATTTGTATTTGGGCCTGGAGAGATGGCTCAGCAGTTAGGAGCATTTGCTTCTCTTGCAGAGGACCTGGGTTTGGTTCCCAAACAAACTAACAACTGTCAGTACCTCCAGTTCCAGGGGATCTGACACCCTCTTCTGGCCTGTGTGGGTACTAGGCACACACATGGTGCACATACATACATACGTGCAGGCAAACATTCACACATCTAAAATAAAAATAAATAAGTCATGTCGGGCATGATGGCACACACCTGTAGTCCCAGCACTTGGGAGGCAGAGGCAGGCAGATCTCTGTGAGTTCAAGGCCAGCCTGGTCTCCATATCGAGTTCCAGGACAGCTGGGACTACAGGGAGGCCCTGTCTCAAAAAGACCAAAAAATTTTTAAAAATAAATTGAAAATTGTACTCAGAATTTATTTTACTTTGTGTATAATAAATATTTTGCCTGCATGTATGTGTGTGTACCCAGTGTTTGTGCAGTGCCTGCAGATGTCAGAAGAGGGCAAAGGAGCCTCCATGTGGGTGCTGGGAATCAAATCTAGGTCCTATGCAAGAGAAACAAATGCTCTTAACTAGTGAGTCATCTCTTCAGCCCTCACTCAACAATTTAGACCTCACTACAGTTGTCAGTCTTAGAGATCTATGCCTAGATGGGGCCTTATTTATCAACACTTGATTTATAAGGGCTGGGAAATAAGCCATGACACAAAAGGAAGGGATGCTGGTTAGAAGTGGAAGCCACAAACGAGAGGGCTGTAAACCAGGAGTGGCTGAAGAGCCAAAATAAGTCTCAAGACACACGCTGAATGCCAGTTCAGATTACAGTTCATTATAGCAGAAAAGTCAGCGCAGCACAAGCATGAAGCAGCTGGTCACCTTGCATCCCATCAGAAGGTAGAGGAGCAATGGGCTCTCGGCTCCCCTCCTTTTAGTATGGCTCCACCCACAGTGGCAGGACTTCCCACTTCAATTAACCTGATCAAGGTGATCAGGTATGCCCAGTGGCCCATCTCCCAGGTCATTCCAGATCCTGTCAAGTTGACAAAATCATCAAAAACCTTCTGGTTTCAGGACTTACACCTACAGACTGTGCCATAAATACACAAATATATAGCTGGAAGCTAGGATCTACTTTGGGAGAGAATATGCAGTCTTTCTTTCTGAGTTTGGGGTACCTCACTTAGTAGTTTCCATTTATATCCATGTTCCTTCAAAGTTCATAATTTCATTTTTCTTTATGGCTGAATAAAATTCCATTGTTCATGCATTAAAATTCATGTACCGGCGATGGAGAGATGGCTCAGCAGTTATGAGCACTTGCTGCTGTTCAAAGGACCCGGTTCAGTTCCCAGCACCCACATGGCAGCTAGCAACTGTCCATAACTCCAGTTGTAGGGGATCCAATGCCCTCTTCTGACCTCCACAGGTTTGTATGCACGTGGGTGCACTTAGACACACAATGCTGGCAAATCAATTACACACATACTGTGAACAGAGTACCAATGAGCATGGGCAAGCAAGTCTCTCTGGTCACATTGCAGACCACTGACTTACCTGAATTGATGTTGGAGACACTGATTTACCTAATCTTGGATGAAACCTCAGATCAAGAATGACTATGTGGCAAAAGCTGTGTAGGCATGTGTGCTGAGAGACAAAGGAACACAGTGCCTCTACCCCAAACTATATAAAGAAGTAACGCTGACTGCTGGTCACAATGCCCTGTTAAGCTTAGCTAGTCTTCACTGTAGTCTTTGTTTCAAAATAACATGCCTGCTGGGCCTGGTGGCACAGGCCTTTAATCCCAGCACTTGGGAGGCAGAGGCAGGTGAATCTCTGGGAGTTCAAGACCAGTCTGGTCTACGTAGTGAGTTCTGGCAAGCTGGAGCTACAGGGAGACTGTCTCAAAGACAGAAAAATGAAACAAAACAAAATAATATACCTAAGGACCAGGCATGATGGTGCACACCTTTAATTCCACCCTGGGGAGGTAGAGGCAGGCAGGTGGATCTCTGTGCGTTTAAGGCCAGCCTGGTCTAATGGTGAGTTCCAGGCCAGCTGGGGCTACAGGGAGATCCTATCTCAAAAAATACCAAAACAACAAAAACATACCTAGAAACCTTGAGGAAGCTTTCTCAAGACTGACTACTGAATTAAAGTCATAGCAGTGTTTAGGGGGGGTATGGTAGTGCACGCCTTTAGTCCCAGCACTTGGGAGGCAGAGGCAGGCAGATCTCTGTGAGTTCAAGGCCAGCCTGGTCTATGTAGTGAGTTCCAGGACAGCTGGGGCTACAGGGAGACCCTGTCTCAAAAGACAAAAAAAGTCAGTGTTTGCCGACCTATGCAGGTTAAAGCATAGGGACAGGAGCTAAGGCCTCTGTTCACTTAGCAGAGCTTCTTGGTCCCCCACTCTTGAGATTCTAATCACATGTTGAGTCTTTCCTTCATGCTGTGCTTCCCTCCTCACAGATTCTCTGACCCCTGCCATGCTGGATGTAGTATGGTAGTAGAGTCCTTTGGGTCTACGCCCAGGAGTTGGAGAGCCAGGTTATGCCATAGTTCTACAGAGACCTTTGGGTCTACTCTCAGGAGCTGGACAGTCGGGTCGTACCACAGTTCTAGTCTTACTTTCTAAAGATTTTCATTTGTTTTGACAATTGCATATATGAATACAATATATCTTGACCATGTCTACCCCCTCCTCTCTTATCCCACTCCCCTAGACTCCTCCTAACACATCGACCTCCCACCTTCATGTTCTCTCTTTCTATCTCGTTTAGTCCACTTAGTGCTGCTTGTATGCACATAGTGTGGGTCATTCACTAGAGCATGGGCCACCTACCAGGGGCCACACCCCCAAGAAAAATGATGCTCCCTCCCCCAGCAGCCATGAATAGCTCATCAGCTAGGGATAGAAACTTGTGAGCCCCTCCCCTGTATTTAAAACTATTTATATATGTATTTATTACTGTGTGTGCATGCTGTTACATGAACTGTGGGCATACATGTACCATGGAGGTCAAAGCACAACTTTGGAAAAGAGTTCTCTCCTTCCACTTTGTCAAAGCAGGGTCCTCCTGTTTTTGCCATACCACATACTCCAGACTGGCTGGCCCTTGAGTGCTGGGCCTGTTTCTGCCTCCCATCTCACTGCAGGAGTGCTGGGATTACAGATGTGCTTCACCACATCCAGCTTTTTTTAGGAGGACTTTTGGGAACAAACTTGAGTTGTTAGGCTTGCACAGTAAGCACTTTTACCCACTGAGCCATCTCACTGTTTTTGAGCCAGGATCTCACTGAATTTTTCCACTATCCTTTGGATTTTTTTGTAAGTTATGAATGAAACGGCCACAGATAGATAATAAATAGATAGATAGATGATAGATAAATACACTGATGGATAGAAGATAGCAAATATAAAGATACATAGATGATAGATGAAATAGGTAATAGGTGATAGATAATAGGTAGATAGATCAATAGATGACAGATAACAGATAATACATAGATGACTCAATAGACACAGATGATAAATGGTGAGAACTCTTTTTTTCTGGTACTCTCAGGGCTAAATGAGTTTGTACAGATAAAATGCTTAGACTGGCTTCTGCATAAAACACACACCCTCAGGTGTCATTTCCCAGGTTCTATTTACCTTGTGTTTTGGGTTTTTTTTTAAATATTTTATTATTTTTATTTTATGTGTATTTTATGTGTATGTGTGTATTGCCTGCATGTAGGTAAGTGCACCTATGTTGTACAATGCCCATGAAGGACAGAAGAGGCTGTTGGATCTCCTGGGACTGGAGTTACGGACAGTTAGCTGTCATGGGGGTGCTGGGATTCAAACCCAGGTCTTCTGCAAGACCACCCAGTGTTCTTAACCACTGAGCCATCTCTCCAGCTCCTCTACCTTGTTTTTTGAGACAGCGTCACTCTTGGCCTAGAACATCAATTCAGCTAGACTGACTGGCTAGGGAACCCCAGGGATCTGTCTGTCTCCACCTCCCCAAGGAAGGGATTAGAATCTCCAGATCCATTGGAGTCAGGCATAGTAGCTTACACAATTAGTCTCAGCTCCTTGGGATGAGGAGGAAGGATCCCTGGTGGTTCACCAGTTTGAGAACAGTCTGTGTCAAATATAACAAGACTGTCAAAAAAAGTCTATTGCCATTTAGAGCTTTGGATTTCAGAATTTTGGATGAGAAGCTGTGCATAAGGGACAGAAGGGACAGTTTTTCTGTCCCTTTCACATCTGTTTTTTTTATATGGGTCTAGGAATCGAACAAAGGTCCACATACTTACAGGGCAAGCAAGTTATTTTTTATTAATGTAGGCATTGAAATATTTTGATGGAAAAATCTGACCTTCACTGATATGAAACTATTTAAAGAATTTAATCAACATTGTAAAGCTGGAGAGATGGCTCAGTGGTTAATAGCAGTTGTTGCTCTTACAGAAGACCCTAGTTCATTTAACAGCACCTATATCAGGTGACTCACAACTACCTGTAATTCCAGCTACAGGGGATCGAACACGCTCTTCTGGTATCTGTGGATACTGCACTCATGTGGCATATATACAGACAAGCAGGCACACACACATGTTTTTAATATTGTATATATATTTCATAGCAGAAATATGAATGTGTATAAAACCACAAATCCTGCTGCTAGTGTAATAAGTGATGTAAATGAGATTGCTACACTAAATTTTCAGAGCCTAAATTCTCAAATTCTCTAAATTCTCTAAGAAAATCTCACAACCAGGCCTTCTGACCAGGGATTATGGAGCTGTGGATACATATCATAGTAAGCGTGATACTCAGCTGTTCAGTTTTCTTCCTTGAAAATGCAAATAAATTGGCCTGGTGTGGTGGCACGTGCCTTTAATCCCAGCACTCGGGAGGCAGAGGCAAGTGGATGTCTGCAAGTTCAAGGCCACCCTGGTCTACATAGTGAGTTCCAGGACAGCTGGGGCTATAGAGAGACTCTGTCTCAAAAAGACCAAAAAAACAAAATGCAAATAAATTAAGTCAATGAGAAGGAAGGATGAGAGAAAAAGGAAAAAGACAACAATTCCACAAGTTACTGTGAAAAGACCCTAAGTTCGATCCCCAGCACTGCACAAAAGAAGAAAGAGACAGAGAAGGAAGAGAGGGAAGGAGGGAAGGAGGGGAGAAGGAAAGAAACAAGGAAAGGGAGGAAGGGGAAGGAAGGAAAGATGGAAGGGGGGAGAGAGAGAGAGAGAGAGAGAGAGAGAGAGAGAGAGAGAAAGTGCTGATTCCAGTAAGACTTCAAAGAGAAGAACAGAGATGGCTCAGTGATTAAGAGCACTGGTTGCTCTTGCAGGAGACCTGGGTTTGGTCCCCAGCACCCACATGGTTGCTAACAACCACCTGCAAGTCTAGTTCCTGGGAATCTGGTGCCTCTCTGTCCTCTGTGGGAACCAGGCAGACAAGTGGTACACACACAATCATGCAGGCAAACACTCATACACATAAAGTTAAATTAAAATAATAAGTCTTTGGGCCAGGTATGGTGGTGCACACCTTTAATCCCAGCACTCCAGAGGCAGAAGCAAGTGGATCTCTGTGAATTCAAGGCCAGTGTGGTCTACAGAGTGAGTTTCAGGCCACCTAGGGCTATAGGGAGACCCTATCTCAAAAAGACCAGGAAAAAATAAAAGACTTTACAGAGAATGATCTCAAAACAAATAAACTAAAGAACTGAAGAATTTTCACATAATCACTAATACAGCAAATTCTATACAGAAGAGGTAGAAGACTGTGGAAAACAATGTGACATTTTGTGAAAAATTTCTATAGCTCTCTGAGCAGTACCTATATTAAGAGATGTCATCATCTTCATTATAGTTTTTGCTATTCCTCTTTTAGAGGAGCATGTCCTAAGGATGGAACTCTGATAAATATATAACACTGAGCTACATCCTGTCCCTATTACAGGTTTTGTTGGTTTTTGAGACAGGGTCTCAAACTTGCTACAGAAGACAAGGATGATGACTTTGAACTTTTAAATGCTCCTGCATCCACTTCCCAAGTGCTAGGATTACAGGTGTGTACCACCACACCATGTTTATACAGTGCTAGAGATGGAACCCAGGGCTTTGCCCATGTTAGAAAAGCACTCTACCAATTACAATACATCCTATATTAGAGCTTTTGCATAAAACCATCCAAGAAGCTGCCTTTTTCTCTCCTGATACAAGGTCCCCCTGTAGCTCCAGCTGGCCTAGAACTCACTATGTAGACCAGGGTGGTCTCGATCTCACAGAAATCCACCTGCCTCTGCCTCCTGAGTGCTGGGATTAAAAGTGTGAGTCACCACGCCCCACTGATCCCCTCTCTTGACATTACGGAAGCCAGAGTGTGCATGCTCTAGCCATGTCAGCTGCACTGAGTGTTGGAGTCTCACCATTTTCCTCCAGATGAGACTTCTGTGACTCTTGATCAGGCTGGGTCTCCACTGGCAGAAACTGGTGACCGAAGGACTCCTGCGTGGCTCCAGGTGGTACCATCTTCTGAAGAAGAGTGTCAGGACACGTGACAATCTAACAACCACAACTACAAGCAATCAGCAAAGTTATAGACAGGGATGGGAAAGAGCCCTTTAGAATCCACTGAACTGTCAACTTGTCCCCATGCCAAATATTTGACATGCAGTTAGAATAAGTTGGGCACTGATTAAACAGCAGTTTAATAAACATGGTTTACCTCTACCAGGAAAAGACTTCCATGGGACATACCCACATGTAAATACATATGAACTGTGCTACATGTTATGACAGGAAAGAAACACATTAACAAGACGGAACAGGTGAGACCCACTTTAGCCTGGGAGTCTAGGAAAGGCTGTGCTGTGGAACTGTTTCTTAAGCAAACACCTGACCATGTTAAGAAGGTAGCCACAGGGCTTGAGAAATTGCTCAGCAGTTAAGAGAGCATGCTGCTTTTGAAGAGGATCCGGGTTTATTTTCCAGCACCCACCCATGTCAGGAAGCTCACAACTGCCTGTAATTCCAGCTTCAGGGGATCCCACACCCTCTTTCGGCCTCTGTAGTCACTTGAATACAATTATGTGCACACTCACACAGACACACACTCATATTCACAACAGTTAAAATTAAAAATTGCTACTCTTAGCTGGGCATGGTGGTGCATGCCTTAGATCCCAGTACTCAGGAGGCAGAGGCAGGCAGATCTCTGAGTTCAAGGCCAGCCTGGTCTACATAGTGAGTTCAGGCCAGCTGGGGCTACAGGGAGACCTTGTTTCAAAAGAACCAAAAAAAAAAAAAAAAAAAAAGTTGCTACTCTTGCAGAGAACCCAGGTTCAGTTCTCAGCACCCAGAAGGCAGCTCATAACTACCTTTAACTCCAGTTCCAGGGGATCCAAAGCCATCTTCTGGCCTCCATGCCCCCATGGATGGACGGACAGACAGACACAAACACACAGATATATAAACACACACTCAGATAGACAAAAATTAAAAATTAAAAAAAAAGAAGGCAGGCAAAGGAAAAATAAGGGAAAGAGAGCCAGGTACAGATGGCACTATCAAACCCTCAGGCAAAATAAAATGTTTAGTCCAATTCAAAAACCCTGAGAAAGGGCATGGAGAGATGGCTCAGAGGTTAAGAGCACTGGCTGTTTTCAGAGGACCTAAGTTTGGTTCCCAGTACCTACATGGTAGCTAACAATCATCCATAATTCCAGTTCCAGGGGATCTAACAACCTCTTCTGGCCTCTGTGGGCATCGTATACACAGGTGCATTTACATACATGCAGGCAAAACACTCATACACATAAAATGAAAATAAAATAAATTTAAAATAAGAAACTTAAGAAACCCAGGGTGGGTGAAGTTTCAAGAAATGGGAGAGAAAAGAGGTTAGGAGGATCACTTTGGGACTCAGGATGTCACAGCTGGTCAGACCAATGTTAAGATTTAAAGCTAGTTTACATCCAGGGAGGTGGTCCTGCCTCTAACTCAGCCCTTGGGAGGCAGAAGCACGTAGATGGTAGAAGGTTCAAAGTCTGGTCTATACAGCAAGTCCCAGGTCAGACTAGGCTACACAGCAAGACTCTGTCTCAAAACCAAACAGAAAATGAGACTTGTTACCTGCCTTGGCCCTTGCTCCACCTAGAGTACATATATTCCAAGGCCCCCTCACTCCCTAGAGTCTGCCTACTCAGGAAGACATAACTCTGACTGGCAGTCCTAGAAGGTGTTAAAATCTGCACTCAGATAAAATTGCTGTTCTCACCCTTCTCCCACTTACTTAGGTTTCAAAGCAGGCTCAGTTTCAACACTTCTAAACAGGTCTGGTGGCAGAGGCCTGCAACGCCAGTTCCTTGAGACCAAGAGAGGAAGACTGAAAGCTCAAGACCAGCCAGGGCAACTTAATGAGGCCCGGTCTCAAAATTGGAAAGCAAAAAGAAGGCTCGGATAGAGCTCCCTGGTAGCCACCTTGTCTAGAACTCGAATCCTGCTGAAGAATGAGGGGAAACCTCTAGCTACCTTCAAACTCTTATAAACTGGTAGTTTTTGTTTCTGTGCTATAATATATCAGATAAGGAAAAGAGGGAGGGAGGAAACGAGGGAGGGAGGGAAGGAAAAAAAGAGGGAGGGAGGGAGGAAAGGAGGGGGGAGGAAGGAAGTCTGTTTATCAATAAGTATAGGAGGACAAAAAGATGCAGTAATAGGAAGCTATCATATCTTTAAATTAGCTATGGCTTTAAAATATTTTTCATTTAATTAATATGTTTATTTTATGTGTATGAGTGTATTGCCTGCATGTATGTAGTGCACCTGTGTCCGTGTTGTGCAATGCTATGGAGGTCAGAAGAGGCTGTCGGATCCCCTGGAACTGGAGTTAAGGATGGTTTGGAGCCGCCATGTGGGTGCTGGGATCAGAACCCGGGTCCTCTGCAAGATCAGGCAGTGCTCTTAACCACTGAGCCATCTCTCCAGCCCCTAAATCAGCTATGGTTTAATGTATTCCTGACAATAATAACAATAGGATTTTGAGGATGGTGAAAATTAAATAACTAATTATTTACTGCTGTCAGTGGCTCTGTTTTGTTTTGTTTAAAGACAGGGTCTCTGGCTGGAGAGATGGGACAGCAGTTAAAAGCACTTGCTGTTGTTGCAGAGAACCTGAGTTCGGTTCCCAGTATACAAGTTGGGAGTCTCACAACTGCCTGTAACTCCAGTTCCAGGGGACCCAATGGCCTCTTTTGGCCTCTGCACACACATGCATCTACCCCCACACAGAAATATACACATACATATAAATAAATCTTTAAAAAATTAAAAATTAATAAAATTAAAGACATGGTCTCACCGCAGAGCACATGGTGGCTTCTAGTTCAGTATTCTCCTGCCTTAGCTTCCCAAGTGCTGAGACTAAGGGCATGTTCCACCAAATTGAGCTCTATACAATCCTAAAACTTGTAAGGAAAAAAGAAGGGGCTGAAGAGCTGGCTCAGCAATTAAGAGCACTGGCTGCTCTTGCAGAGGACTCAGATTTGAATTCCAGCACCCACATGGCAGCTAACAACCATCTTCAACTCCAGTTCTAGGGGATCCGACACCCTCTTTTGACCTCCATGGGCAACGCATGACATGGGTGTGCCTACCGCTGCCTCCCGAGTGCTGGGATGAAAGGTGTGCACCACCATGTCTAGCAAAATAAAAATTTTTATAGATTTTAAAAATATTTTATTTATTATTTTTATTTTATGTGTATAGTGTATTGCCTGCATATAGGTAAGTGCACCAGTGTCATGCAATGCCTGTGGAGGTCAGAAGAGGCTGTAGCTGCCATGTGGGTGCTGGGATTCAAACCCAGATCTTCTGTAAGAACAGTCAGTGTTCTTAACTGGTGAGCCACCTCTCCAGCCCCCAAATAAAATATTTTTAAAAAAATAAGGAAAAAAGGGGCTGGAGAGATGGCTCAGCAGTTAAGAACACTAGTTATTCTTGCAGAAGACCCAGGTTCAAATATAGGCAAAACCTTGATAGGTAACAATAAAGATAGCATGTTAATCAGTTAAGGGAAAAAAGATTACTTTAAGTTTTCTGGGGGTGGGGGAGTGAAGACAGCTGGAGAGATGGCTCAGTGGTCAAGAGAGCTTACTGGTCTATCAGAGGACCCGAATACAGTTGCCAAAATCCACACTGAGCAGCTCACAACCACCTGTAATGCCAGCTCCAAGAGATCAGAAGCCCTCTTCTGGCCTCATGTGGTACTACACACACATACACACACACAAATAAATAAATAAATAAATAAATAAATAAATAAATAATTGATTTAATTAAAAAAAAAACTCATTGTCAGGCATGATGGTGCACACCTTTAATCCCAGCATTTGGAAGGCAGAGGCTGGATCTCTGTATGTTCTGGGCCAGCCTGGTCTACATAGCAAGTTCCAGGCTAGCCAGAACTACACAGTGAGATCCTGTGTGAAAAGAAACAAAACACAAAAACAAAAACCCCACTGCTGGTAGGTTTATAATTTGGCATAACCTCTATGAGGGACAACCTGAAACAGCTTTCAAAATTGTAAAAGTGGGTTGTCAAGATGGCTCAGCAGATAAAGGAGCTTGCCAAGCTGAGGTTGATCCCTGAGACCCACATGGTAGAAGGAGAGAACTGACTTTTGCAAGTCAGTTGTCCTTTGACCTTCACAGGCACACCAAAGAAAATTGCAAATGTACATCAAAAAACTGCAAATGTATTTCTGAGCCACCAATCTGATTTCAAAATGTTCATGCTACAACTAATGATATGTACAGTGTGCTTACGATGCAAATTTTGTTAAAGTAAACTTCAGAAACAATTTAAATTAGGTACGACTTAAATGGAAGAATGTAAACTTCACATAATGGTACATAATAGAGTTTCAAAGAGTGAGGCAGTTTGAGGCTGGAGGGATGGTTCAGTGGTTAAGAGCACTGGCTGCTCTTGCAGAGGACTCAGGTTCAATTCCCAGCACCCACTGGGTGGCTAACAACTGTCTGTAACTCCTGTTCTGGGAGATATGATGTCTTTTTCTGATCTCCACGGGCATTGTATGACATGATGTATTTATATATGTGCAGGCAAAACACTCAAACATATTTAAAAATTGGGGGAAAAAAGTGAAGCAGTTTTATTCCACTGACATTGAACAAATTAAGATATAGAGGGGAAAAGTGTGGGGTGCAGTGGCACGTGCGCAAATGCACTTAGAAAATGCAGGCAAGGCCCGGTGTGGTGGCATACTTGTAGTCCCAGCACTCGGGAGACAGAGGCAGGTGGACCTCTGTGCGTTCAAGGCCAGCCTGGTCTACACAGCAAGATCCATTCTCTGTGAGTTCAAAGCCAGCCTGGTCTACATAGGGAGTTCCAGGCCAGCTGGGGTTACAGGGAGACCCTGTCTCAAAAAGACACCCCCCTCAAATAAAAAAGAAAATGCAGGTAAAACACTCATACACATAAAATAAAAATAAAAAGAATCTGAATGCCGTACTGGTGGGCTAGGAATCTCTCCCTTGTGTGGCAGCTGCTTCTCCACTCACCTGTTGTCTGCGTTCCTCCAGTTCTCTTTGGATGCTTTCTATCACCGCCACCGCCTCTTCTCCGCTCTCAGGGTGATGTTCTCTCACCCAGGCTTGGAACTCTTCGGGCAGGATGGTCAGAAACTGCTCCAGCACCAGCAGCTCCAGGATCTGCTCCTTGGTGTGCAGCTCGGGCCTCAACCACTCACAACAGAGCACGCGGAGCTGACTGAGAGCCTCCCGAGGTCCCGGCGCCTCATGATACTGGAAATGCTTGAAACGCTGGTAAAAAGTCTCAAACATTGGCCGGTTGTACGCCTGCATCCAGGTGCAGTCTTCTTCTTCCACCTTCACTATAAGAAGGTCTTCCTGCTCCCGTGAAGTTGCAGCTGGAGGATCTAAGTCTATAACTTCTTTGGATTCCGTCATTATCATCCGAACTCCGAGTCCCTGGAGGCTGGCTGTTCCGCTTACCTAATTTGTTCTCTCTGCTCTTTAAGATCTGAAGGGCACTTTGTATACTGAACGACCTACTGATACATCGGGAGTTATTATCAGCAAAGAGAGGTGGCAAAGATGTCATCTATACTGAAGACGATCACTCAGCAAAGCAATTCACTTAAAAGTATGGATTACAGGTCAGTTGTCACTCCATCCATAAAATTACGAAAACAGAATCTATTCAGATTTTAAACAAGAACACCTTTAAAACGACTGGTATCAGTCTCAAACTAAAACACAGTCTTAGGGGTGAAAAAGTCCACATTTCTTATAAATAACGGGACAAGATTACTCCAGACACAGTCGTTCCTTCTTCCCAACATAAGCTAAAGTTAAGTCAAAATAAGGGTGAAAACCATTAAAAAGGTCATGTCTGGTCCCGGCTTTGAAGCATAAGGGCCTGACAGACAAACGGAAGACTTCATTAGTCCTAGAAGTACAGTTATAGGTACAAATTTGGGCCAGGATTACTCGAAATAGCCCCTGAGCCGGAGACAGAGACCGGCCTGGTCGCGGTGAGGGCAGGACCCCAGTCTGGACCCTCCCCGCTCCCCTCTAGCCCCTGAGTCCCGGGGACGCAGAGATCAAGCTCCCCGCAGCCAAAGCCAGGAAGATGGAGTTTCCCCGAGCACCGACTCCGACACTTCCCAACACTTCCTCGCCGGAAGTAAGCAAGTCCGAGCTTCAGCCATAAACCCCACCCCCCCCAGAGCGCTTCCGAGGCCTCTCTAGGAATCCCGGAGGTCCTCCGCTCGCAGCGGGAGGGAGGGACCACCCTGGGCCCGCCCCTCAACGGATGGCCAATCAGTGAGGCGAAACTGATGGGCGTGTTGGTAGGGGCAGGACCTCTGGGGTAGGCAACAGTTGCTAGCGTCTGATTGGCTCTGTGCAACTCCACCCCCAACGCTCTCCGTTTCTGCCAGTGCCAACCCCTCACTTAGCTTTAAATTTGAAACCCTTCGGGTTTTTACTCATCGGAACTTCAGTTACTGCCCCGCCTCTTTTCCAAACGTACCAACCTCTTGACGGCTGAGATTGGCTTCTCTGGCCGAAATCTCCAAGGTAACATCTCAGTGTGGCCGGCTCAAAAGCTGTCCGGACAACTCCCAGGAAGCACCGCGCTCCAGCCACACCGCCTAGCCAAAATGGCCAAGACTCTCCCTGAATCCTCGGTCTCTCTGGGCCTGTAAAGATGCAGCAGGGGGCAATAGGATGGCTCACGGGTACAGGCGCTTGCTTGCAACCGAGCATGATAATCTGAATTCCATCCCCAGGACCCATAAAGTAGAAGGTGAACCCTGACACCCAAAAACTGTCCTCTGACTTTCACATGTGTGCCATCACGTGTTCACCCATACACATACTATGGAACTAAATAATTTTTAAAATTTTTATTTAGGGGGAGTGGAGAGATGGTTCAGCGGTTAAGAGCACTGGCTGCTCTTCCAGAGGACCCTGGTTGGATTCTCAGCACTCACATGGTGGCTAACAACCATCTGTAACTCCAGTTCCAGGGGCATCTGATGCCCTCTTATCTCCATGCACATTGTGCAACACCAGTACACTTACATACATGGAGGCAATACATTCATACCTATAAAATAAAAATAATAAAACATATATAATGAGGAGGGGATAGGGGAGGGGGGATCTAAATGCCATCAAATTGTATGAAAATTGCAAAAATTCCATTTAAAAAAATGTAAAGATGCAGCAAGGAAAAGGGACATATCCTCAGCAGCCTACTGAAAGGCTGAAGAGTAGGCAGGGAACCTGGGGGCTTCCTAACTGTTAACCGATGGGACTTCTCTAAGCCAGAGTTCTCTTTTTGTTTTGTTTTGTTTTGTTTTGTTTTGTTTTGTTTTGTTTTGTTTTGTTTGAGACAGGATATCCCTGTAGCCCCAGCTGATCATGTGGACCAGGCTGGCTTCAATCTCACAGAGCTCCACCTGCCTCTGCCTCCCAAGTGTTGAGAGGCATGCACTACCATGCCCATCCACAGGTCCCAACTTTAATAATCTACCTCTTTCCTATGATGCCGATTGTTTTCCTAGTTGAGGGTTTCAAAGCTATTGAACGGTCAGGTCAAGAGTTTCTATTGCCACAAATAGGGGCACTGCCAGGTGTGGTGGTGCACGCCTGTAGTCCCAGCACTTGGGAGGCAGAGGCAGGCGGATCTCTGTGAGTTCAAGGCCATCCTGGTCTACACAGTGAGTTCCAGGACAGCTGGGGCTACAGGGAGACCCTGTCTCAACAAGACAAAAAAAAAAAAAAAAAAAAAAAAAAAAAAGATAGGGGCACGTTGAAACAAAGTACTGTGAAAATTGCAGCCTCTGAAAACAGATAAGGACCTACTTAGATAAATGACCCAAACTCTGAGGAGGTAGCTCAGTGGAGACAATATTGGCCACATTCTCAAGTCCCTGAGTTCAGTCTTCAGTGAGCAGGGAGGGTGTGGGATGTGTGAAGAAGAATTTGAGAGTCTGAGCATGGTGGTGCACTCCTTTGATCTGGACACTCAGGAGGGAGAGATAGGAGGCTCTCTGTGAGTTCACAGCCTGGTCTACATAGCAAGTTCCAAGCCAGTTCCAGGTCAGGCTGCACAGTGAGGCCCCAAGGGGAGGCCCTGAGGGAAGGGGAGAGGAGGGGAGGGGAGGGGCGGGGGAGTAGAGAAGAAGGGAAAAGGGGAGGGGATGGGAGAAGAAAGAATTTGAGTTTATTCAAATAATTCTCACTGCCCACAGTAAGAGAATGTGTGGACTTAAAACACAGTCCTTGCTGGGTGTGGTGGCACATGCCTTTAATCCCAGCACTTGGGAGGCAGAGGCAGGTGGATCTTTGTGAGTTCAAGGTCAGCCTGGTCTACAAAGCAAGTTCCAGGTCAGCTGGAGCTATAGGGAGACCCTGTCTCAAAAAGACCAAAAACAAAAAAAAAAACACAGTTGTCATCTCAAAGGGACTAAGAGCTAACATATGCTCGAGGTGACACATGCCTTTAAAAAACATGAAAAAAATTTGCACCAAGAATTTTGTATCCTCAGCATTCCACCATTAACATTTGGATCCATTTGCTTTCTTACATAATTGATTCATCTATCCATCCTTTGTTCTCCCTTTCAGTCCATCTTACTTTACTAAGATATTACAAAGCAGAATGCTGTAGCAATATTTTGAAAAGCTACTTTTATTTATTTATTTATTTTATGTGGATGAGTGTATTGCTTGCATATGTGTAAGTGCACCCATGCTGGGCAGTGCCCACAGAGGTCAGAAGGTGTATTCCCCTGGAACTGGAGTTATGAATGGTTGTTAGCTGCAATGTGGGTGCTGGGAACTGAACCTGGGTCCTCTGCAAGAGCAGCCAGTGCCTGAGCCATCTCTCCAGTCCCTGAAATGCTACTTTTGGCTTCCCTTCCCTTCCCTTCCCTTCCCTTCCCTTCTCTCCCCTTCCCTCCCCAGACATCTTTCTCTTAGCTGACATCTTTCCCTTCCCTGAGGGAAAGGTGCCCCATGCGAAATAAATCTGTATCCTGCTGAGAATTCCATGTGTGCCTCGGTGCCTTTCTCATCTGCTCGCTCCCGCCCGTTCTCTACCTATCAAATCCCAGCACTTAAGAAGCAGAGGCAGGCAAATCTCTGTAAGCAGCCAGCCTACTCTACATAGAGAGTTCCAAGCCTCCTAGGGCTATGCCATAAGACCCTGTCTCAAAAAAAAGAAAAAAAGAGAAGAGAAGAGAGAGGGGGGGAGAGAGAGATTTAGGACACACCATGAAGTAAATATGAATGGCCATGGCCCAGGAACACAGGCCCAGGAACACAGAGCACAGATTGCCGTTGCCTTGAATCTCATGCTCTCGTGTTCATCAGTGGAAGGGGCTACATGGGCTTGTATTGGTTAGAGATCAAAACAAAGTCATGCATCAATTCTTTTTTCTTTTTCCAGACAGGGTTTCCCTATAGCCCTAGCTGGCCTGGAGCTAGCTATGCAGAAATCCACCTGCCTCTGCTCCCAAGTGCTATGAATCAATGCAGTTTGAAATAGTTTAAAGGCTGGAGAGATGGCTCAGAAGTTAAGAGCACTGGCTATTCTTGCAGAAGACTCAGCACCCGCATGGTGGCTATGAACCATCCTTAACTCCAGTTCCAGGGGAATCCAAAGCCCTCTTCTGACCTCCGCGGCATTGCACGACAAGGGTGCACTCACATACATGCAGGCAATACACTCATACTCATAAAAAATAAAAATAAATAAATAAAAATTAAAAATAAAGTTCAATAACCATCAACTAAAACTGGAGCACTCTGATTTTAAAAAGTCACTCTGCCTCCCTTCTTATTACTGAGGCAGCATGTTTTGTTTTTTCTATCTCAGATTTAAAAAAATTAGTTGTGTGTGTATGTGTGTATGATGTGAGGGTGGCACATGCATCAGAGTGCACATTTGGAGGCCAGAAGACAATTTGCAAGAGTCAGTGTTCTCCTTGTCCACCTTTACATGGCTCCTTGAACTTAATTTCTAGGCCTGTTTGGCAAGCACCTTGACCCACTGAGTCATCCTACTGGCCCCTTCATTTCGTTTAATAGGCAGTATTTCACCAGATATGCTGGATAGTTCTAGCACAAATACTCCCCTCCACTTTCAATTTGATGCATTTTTTTGTTCAAGCAATGAGAAACTGTCCATACACTTTTGAATATCATCAGAGGCTGAAGAAAACTATCTTGGCTGTTTGCATGACCTCAACACAAATAGTAGATGAAGGAAATTAGGCCATTTAATGAGAATATCTCAATTCTTGACTTGTCCCTCTCCTGCTAGAATCAGGCACTCCCAAGAACAAATTTCTAGGAGCAAGGATTTACAAGAGCAACAGAGCAGCAGCTGGAGAAATGGCTCAGTTGTTAAGAGCACTGGCTACTCTTCCAGAGGACCTAGGTTCAGTTCCCAGCACCCACACGTGTCTGTGCACCTGAGTACAGGGTCTCACACAAGCCAGAAGACAGCATGGGACCCCTGGTACTGGAATTACAGGTGATTGTGAGTGACCCTTTGTGGGTTGTGGAAACCAAACCCAGGTCCTCTGCAAAAGTAATACTTGTTCTTAATGACTAAGCCATCTCTCTGTTGGGTCCGAGGTTCGGGAATAATTGGAGACCACCCACCAAAATTCAAAATTTAGAAAATTTTATTGAAAAGCATTCCAATTCTTGAATGACCAGTTGGGCACAGACTCCAGGAGCCAAAGAATGGAGTCTGGCCCTGACCAACAAGGGGGGGGGTTGTTTATTGGGTACTCTTGAAAAAGCCCACGCAAACTGGGTGACCTTTGAATTGATTGGATAACTCTGAATTCCTTGTATGGGGGAAATTTCATTGGTTATAGTCATGGTCAGCCACCTGGAATGTCTCAATTTTTCCTTTTACAGTAGGTTGCCCCTATCGGCCTCTGGATGCCCTTTTATGGTCGGGAATTTTGATTGGTTTCTGTTAGACTCAGGTAAGCAAGGCATGTCCAGGCTTGCCTAATCTTAGCCGGACGTATGGGGCAAAGGAGACTTATAGTTTCTAGGAACAGAGACTTAAGACTGACAAGATGGAGGCTGCTAAAAAATGGAGCCAGTGTGACCTGGATCCTTCATTCTCCAGTCCCCGTTATCCATAATTTCAACCTGTATACCTTTTAACACATTCTGCATTAGTATCTATATTACCAGAATGATGTTATCAATATATTTATTTTTCTATTTAATGTAATTTCATCAATTTTGCCTTCACTTTATTTTTTTAATTTTATTTTTTTAGTTTTATGTGTATGCATGTATTGCCTGCATGTAAGTGCACCCCGTGTTGTGCAATGCCCATGGAGGACAGAAGAGGCTGTCGGATCTCCTGGACTGCAGTTACAGACAGTTGTTAGCTGCCATGTGGGTGCTGGGATTCAAACCCGGGTCTTCTGCAAGAACAACCAGTGTTCTTAACCGCTGAGCCATCTCTCCAGCCCCCTTGCCTTCATTTTTTTTTTTTTTTTTTGTCTTTTTGAAGCAGGGTCTCCCTGTAGCCCCAGCTGTCCTGGAACTCACTATGTAGACCAGGCTGGCCTTGAACTCACAGAGATCTGCCTGCCTCTGGCTCTCAAGTGCTGGGAATACAGGCGTGCACCACCACACCCAGCTGCCTTCATTTTTTTTTTTTTTTTTGAGACACAATCTCATTGTTAGGTTCCTGGCAGGCTCCTAAAATGGCGGCACAGCTCCCAACATTCTAAAATGGCGGGTTCAAATTTAGCCCTGGAAAATTTACCCAGCCTATGTGATGGAAAGTTACTCAACCACCTAACTGCCTATAAAAGATGTCTGACTTCCCTTGCCTGCTGCTGTCTCTCTGCTCCCAGAGAGGCAGCCCAGTGGTCTGTTTGCCCACAAAGAACCTGCTGTCCACCATGAAGTTGTCTTGGTTGGTGTCTTCATCACACTCTTCCATACACTCATGAATTCCAAGTGGATGTCAAATTCACTTTGTAGCCTGTTAGTCTCTTTCTAAGATTTAACTTTTATGAATTTTTTATATTATCAATTTATTATTTTTATTTTTATGTGTATGAGTATACTGCCTGCATGTAGTTAGATGCACCCATGTTATGCAGTGCCCACGGAGGTGAGAAGAGGGTTTCAGATCCCCTGGAACTGAAGTTACAGACACTTATTAGCCACCATGGGGGTGCTGGGAACCAAACCTGGGTCCTCTGCAAGAGCAGTCAGTGCTCTTAACTACTGAGCCATCTATCTAGCCCTAAATCTTAATTTATTTATGGTGTATGAGTATTTTGCCTGCATGTAAGTGTACTACATGCATGCAATGCCTGTGGAGGCTGGAAAAGGGCATTCAGATACCCTGGAAATGAAGTTACAGGTAGTTGTTAGCTAAGAGCTGGGACTTGAACTCAGGTCCTCTGAAAGAACAGCTCTTAACCTACCTCTGAGCCTGCTCTCCAGCCCCATCTAGGATACTCTTGAACTTCAGAACCTCCTGCCCCCACCTCCAGAATGCTGGTAATGACAGGCCACTGCCATACTCATTTGATGCTGGAGGTTGAACTCAGGGGTTTACGCATGCTAGGCAAGCACTCATCAACTGAGCTATATCCCCAGCACTCCTGGGATCAGAAATGTGCAGTTCTCTGCCAACACTTGGATCTCACACTAGTACCTCCAGAATCAACACAGTAAATTCCTGATGTTGAAACCGTTAAGCCTGTGGACCTGTGGTAGTTCACAAACACCACGAAGAAGGAAGAAGTCCTATTGTACTGCTAGAACTCTAATAAATAGTGCTTAGAAAATACTGATAGGGCAATCAGTGAACGAAAGACCACAATATGGCCTGCACTGTGCTAGGGAGGTGCTGAGCCATATACCAACAGAAATACATCCAATTCCACTTGCCGTGTTCCTGGGACCAAAAGCACAGTAGGCAGTCAGGTATGATGAATAAATGAATGAGTGAATGAATGAGTGCATGAAATGAATCAATTTTTTAAAAACAAAAAACGCTTGGCCTTTTTAAAGTTTTTTTTAAAAAATAGTTTATTTGCTGGGTCTCTGTAAGTAAAGGCCAGCCTGGTCTACATAGTGAGTTCTAGGACAGCTGGGGCTACAGGGAGACCCTGTCTCAAAAAGACCAAAAAAAATTTTTTTTTAATTATTTTTTAAAGGAATTCCCAGAAGCAAACCATCACAAATAGGACTTTTTATTTGTCACTATTAAAAATCTGAATTTTAAACAGATTCTTGGACGGGTGGTTCATATCCATCAGCTCGTTCAGCTTTAGCTCCCGTCTCATCACCAGCTGCTTTTCCAGAACTACTACCTTCACCACGAAGCAACATGAGTTTTCCCAATTCAAACTTGGGCTTCTTCAGCATTTTTACTTTTCTAATGAAGACATCATGGAGAGGATAAATAGACTGGCAAGTCTTTTCTATGTCTTTTTCAATACTGTCTGGAATCAACTTATTAACCACTTCTTTCAAATCATCTGTCTGTACCTCCTGGGTCATGATCTCCATCATTTTCTTCCAGATCTGGCAGACTTGTTGGTGCTGTACATAGGAAGTCTTTCGTATCTGGTTGTTTCATCTTTTAGTAAAACCAACACAGAACAAGCGAAGCAAGTAACCATCAGCTGTCTTGACGTCAACATGAGCTTCAATCATTGTCTGCCATTTTTTGACCATGGAACACATTTTGTCCTGGGTAAGATCCATGCCATGGAAGTTAGTCAGACAGTTTTTGCCCTGAACATCCTCAGTGATGTGCTTGAACTTTCTAAACGCAACTTCATTATTCTGTAGATCAGCAAGGCTCACTTCAAACACACGACCCTTGAGGCCATTAGATGCAATTTTGGTTCCTTGAGTCCTTGTCACTAGTGTTTTTTCTGATATTTCTAATGTTGAACGTAGCCGGAGCTTTCACATCATACCAATCTTTCTTAGAAAATGGATCAACCACTTTCTTCTTGGCTCCCTTCTTGCCGCCTTTTGTCAGGCGCTTTTTCTTGCCCACTGCCATGGTGTCTCACTGAGAGCCAAAAGGGCGGAAGTGCAACTCTGGCGAGAACTTAGGCTATTTATTATTTTTATTTTCTGTGAATGCGTGTATTGCCTGCATGCAGGTAATTGCACCCAAGCTGTGCAGTGCCTGTGGAGGTCAGAAGAGCCTGTTAGATCCCCTGGTACTGGAATTAAGGACAGCTGCTAGCTGCCATGTGGGTGCTGGGACTTGAACCCGGGTCTTCTGCAAGAACAGCCAGTGTTCTTAATAGCTGAGCCATCTCTCCAACCCTTTTTTTTATTTATTTATTTTTTTTTATTTTAGGGAAGCTAGGTATGGTTGTGCATGTCTTAGTCCCAGCACTTGGAGAAGCAGAGGCAGGTGGATTTCTGTGAGTTGGAGGCTAGCACACATATTGAGTTCCAGATCAGCCAGTGCTGATAATATAATGAAACCCTGTCTCAAAAAAAAAATTAAAAAATTAAAAAAAGAGGGGGTGCTGGAAAGATGGTTTAGTGGTTAAGAGCACTTACTCTTCTTCCAAAGGACCCAGGTTCAGTTCCCAGGACCCACATCAGGGGGCTCACAATCACCTGTAACTCCAGCTCCAGGAGATCCAACACACTCTGGACACGAAGTGCACATAAATTCATGCAGGTCACATATACACATAAATGAAAATAAATCTTTTAAAAATTATATCTTTCTCTGGGCGTGACAATGCACGCCTTTAATCCCAGCACTTAGGAGGCAGAGGCAGGTGGATCTTTGTGAGTTCGAGGCCAGCCTGGTCTACATAGTGAGTTCAGGACAGCTGGAGCTACAGGGAGACCCTGTCTCAAAAAGACAAAAAACAAACAAACAAAACACCTCTACATTCTTAAGGACTTGTTAGAGGAGCTGCAGCCCCAGCATAGCATTGACCGCAAAACACCAATATGCATCTCAGTCCTCCCTGGCGCCTAGAGAGAGTCCAGCAATTCAAGTCTCTTGGCGGAGGATGATGACGCACTTCCGGCTTGAGTGGGTTGTTTTCCCATCTGGAGCTGAAGTGGGACCTTGGAGGGATATTAGCACTTGTGCAGCGTTCTGCCGGACCGGGAGTTTGCGGGTGTCCGTGGGACCCGGTTTTGGGGAAGATCGGTGAGTTTCTTAGGTTTGCGCTCTTCCCGGAAGTCAGTCCTGAAGGAAGATCCGCTCATGCGGAGAAAGACGAGTTCGAGCTGGACGGACCGAGGACCCCGATGGCTGCGAGCTCCGTGGTCTCCGGGTCCCCTCTCTCTGAGGGACTTATGACAGTAAAAGTGGAGGAAGATTCGCACCGAGGTGAGGAGTCCGATGGGCCCAGGGATTGGCAGAACCCCGAAACTTCTCGAAGGCAGTTTAGGCAGTTGCGCTACCAAGAAGTGGCTGGACCGGAAGAGGCGCTGGGCCGCCTCAGGGAGCTTTGTCGTGGGTGGCTGAAGCCCGAGCTGCGCTCCAAGGAGCAGATCCTGGAGCTGCTGGTGCTGGAGCAGTTCCTGAGCATCCTTCCCGAGGAGCTGCAGGCCTGCGTGCGGGAGCACTGTCCCCAGAGCGGGGAGGAGGCTGCGGCCTTGGCGCGGGCTCTGCAGAGAGCCCTGGACCGGACCTCCCCGCAGGTGAGACCCGGAGCGGTTCTGGGTTGGCGGGAGGGTGAGCAGATGTGTGAGGGATGCCACGAATTGCTGAAGTTCTCTCCCGCTCTGTCTTGTTAAACTTCTAAAATTGAAACACATTTTTTTGTTGCGTGTGTGTGTGTGTGTGTGTGTGTCTGTGTCTGTGTATGTGTGTGTGCGTGCTTGTCTGTACATGCACCGCGTGTGTGCAAGTGCACACAGAGGCCAGAAGAGGGTGACAGATATTCTGGAACTGGAGTTACAAGATCTGGAGTTAGAGACAGTTGAGTCACCGTGTGGGTACTGGGAACTGAGCCCAGGTCTTCTGGAAGAACACTAAGTTCTCTTAACTGCTGAGCCATCTCTCAAGCCCCTAGAAACCACACGGGCCCCACTGATATAAACTCCAAGGCCAGGCGTGGTGGCAGATACCTTTAATCCCAGCACTCAGGAGGCAGAAGCAGGTGGATCTCTATGAGATCAAGGCCAGCCTGGTTTACATAGTTCCAGGCCACCTGGGAGACCCTGTCTCAAAACAAAAAGATATGAGCTCCAATCACTGGATTTAAAGTCCAAAGTGCTGACCATTACACTACTTTTCTTTTATAGGAAACAGTGACTAGTTTTCCCTTAGTTTTAGGCCAACATGATTACTTTTCACCCATTGCAGGATACCCTCTCATTTTACTAGACTGTTTGAGAAAGGTGTCAGGATGGAAAGTAAGCAAGCACTTGTTCTAATTGTTAGAACAGCAATTCCTTACTATCTTGAATGTGAGGATGTCTTTTGCTCTGAGTTTGGTGACACACTTCCCACACTGATGATTGCCTTATTTTTTTTTTAAGATTTTTTTATTTTATGTATATTGTTTTCCCTGCATGTATATAAATGCACCACATAAGTGCAGTGCCCACAGAGACCAGAAGAGGGTGTCAGATTCCCAGGAATTGGTGTTAACATTGTCAACCACCATGTAGGTGCTGGAAACTAAACCTGGGTCTTCTGCAAAGCAGCCAGTGCTCTTAACCACTGAGCCATCTTTTCAGCCCCACTTTTTAATTTTTTTTATCTGCAACTGGCATTCCATAAGGAGTTTGCAGTGTTGTGCTGTTGGGTTTTCAAAGTAAGTAGTTCCAATGGAATTATGATTCATAGATTATGGTGGAGCTAAAGCCTTGCTTCACTGAGGCACAGCCACAGTGTCTCATTATGTATGTGTTTACAGTTTCATACCGTTTTACATCTGCTTGATGGAAGCCAGAGCTAACCATTTTCACCATTGCAGAACTATAATACTGAAGTTAAGAAAAAATGTTTAATGTTAGGGTTTTGTTTTGAAGACAGGGTCACATGTAACCCAGGCTGGCCTTGAACTCATGATTCTCCTTTACCTGAGTGCTGAGATTACAAATGTGTGTGCCATGTTCCTGGTTAATGATAGGGTACTATGGCATTAATGGAGTGGTGTGAGCATGGTTCGTTGCTGCATGTCAATTATTCAGTCTTTGAATTTTATTTATCTTTGTTCTTTTTTTTTTTTTTGTCTTTTTGAGACAGGGTCTCCTTGTAGCCCCAGCTGTCCTGGAAATCAATATGTAGACGAGCCTGGCCTAGAACTCACAAAGATCTGTCTGCCTCCACCTCCCAAGTGCTGGATTAAAGGCGTGTGCCACCACGCCCGGCTATCTTTGTTGTTTCTCAGACAGGTTTTAGTGTAGTCCTGGCTGACCTGGAACTCACTATGTAGACCAGGCTGGCCTGGAACTAACAGAGATCCACCTGCTTGGATTAAAGGCATGTCTGCCCATGTATGTATATATTATTATGTGTATGTTTCTGCCTGTATGTGGGTAAGCTCATGTGAGTACAAGTACTCTCGGAGGCCAGAAATGTTGAATCCCATGGAGGTGGAAATATAGCTGTTTCTGAGCCACCTGACATGGATACTGGGAACTGAACTCGGGTCCTTTGCTAGAACAGTACATGCTTTTTAAAAATTTTTTATTTAGTATTTTTATGTGTATGCGCGTATTGCCTGCATGTAGGTAAGTGCACCTGTGTTGTGCAATGCCTTCGGAAGTCAGAAGAAGCTGTTGAATCTCCTGGGACTGAAGTTACGCACAGTTGTTAGCTGCCATGTGGGTGCTGGGATTCGAACCCAGGTCTTCTGCAAGACAACCAGTGTTCTTAACCACTGAGCCGTCTCTCCAGCCCCAAACAGTACATGCTTTTACCTGTTCAACCATCTCTCCAGCCTCTTGGCTGCTTTAAACACCAAACAAGTTGAAACCAATTGTTCATTTTAGTCACTGCAGTATGCTATTAGATATTATTTTGTTCTTAATTATCCACAAGATTAAAAGTGAGCGGTATTGTGTGTAACATTTAGCATATGGCCTTTTGCAGCAACATCATATAAATAAAATCTTTTAACTGGAACTATGAGATGGCTCAGCAGGTTAAGTTGCTGGTCACCAAGTTTGACAGCTTGAGTTTGCTCTCTGGGACTCACATAGTAGGAGAGAACTAACTCCCACCGGTTGGTCTCTGACCTTCATATGTGCACCATGGTGCGCACAAGCCCCCCTCTCCAAGATAAACAATGTAAAAAAAAGTTTTAAAATCTGGTGCCAGGTGTGGTGGTGCACACCTTTAATCCCAGCACTGGGGAGGCAGAGGCAAATGGATCTCTGTAAGATCGAAGCCAGCCTGATATACAAAGTGAGTTCCAGGCCAACTGTGACTTGTGACTACAGGGAAACCTCATCTCAAAAAAGGACCAAAAAAAAAAAAAAAATCTCATCGCTGAAAATAGCTCATTGATGCTATTTCACTATCATGAGCTGCTATTCGAGTGCTGGGAGCTGAACTTGGGCCCTCTACAAGAGCAGTAAATGGTTCTTAACCACTGAGTCATCTCTCCAGCTCCAAGATGACCTTTTAAGATGGCTTTATTAAATGCAGGTTGACTGTTCACTGAAGTTAAGCCACAGTTCTTAGAAAGGGAACATTCTAAAACTGGTATGGAAGATATTTTTTATTAATTCAGTGAGGATTGCAAAGTGACTCCAAGGTTCTCTGTAGCGCGTGCGTGCGTGTGTGTGTGATAATATGAGATGTCTTTAACAAAGTCATATGTTGATGTGTTGAAGACTGTTCACCTGCTGATAGCTCTATTTTAGTAGGTGTTGGAATCTTCAGGAGGTGATGCCTAGCTGGAGGATGCAGATGGAGGGCAGTGTCCTTGGGGGCTGTATCCTTACCTGGTCCCTTTCTGTCCCTGCCCTGCTTCCTCACTACCATAGGGTGAGCTGCTCTTCTTCAGCACACCTTTCTGCTATGGTGTTCTGTCTTACCACAGGCTCAGAAACAGTGAACTCAACCAACCACAGACTCTTCTGAATTCTAAGTCAAAACAAATCTTCCCTCCTTTACATTGTCTTACGTATTTGTCAAAGTGACATAGTGACCAACACAATATATATATATGTACATAACTAACACATGTATGTACATATAGGCTGAGTATTCTGTATCTTAAATGCTTGGAACCAAAAATGTTGAACTGTTCAGATTTCTAAATATTTGCATAGATTTTACTAGTTTAGCCAGGGATGTAACTTAGTGGTATAGCATCTTCCTAATCTGAAAATCCAAAATCTGAAATGCCCTAAAAAAATCTGAAAAATTTTGAGTGTCAGCCCCCACACAACTAAGAAGTATTGACCCCATTAGGCCGGACATGGTGGCACACACCTTTAATCCCAGCACTCAGGAAGCAGGCAGATGGATCTCTGTGAGTTCAAGGCTAGCCTGGTCTACTTAGTGCCAGGCCAGCTGGGGCCACAGGAAGACCCTGTCTCAAAAAGACCAGGAAAAAAAAGAAGTATTGACCCCAGTGTCCATGGTGCTGAGACTGAAACACTGCTTTTGGACATGGCTAAAACAGGAAGTGACCATTTTGGGTGTATGTGTAGCAGGGTCTGAAAAATGTTTCAAGGTTAACTTTTCAGGGACTAGAGAGATGGCTCAGCAAATTAAGAGCACTTAACAGGGAGGGGTTCAGTTCCCAGTGCCCACATTGGACTGTTCACTATTGTCCCTAACTTTGGTTCTGGAGGATCTGATGCCCTCTTTTTGTCTCTGTGCACATTCCATGCACAAGGAACACTTATATACATGCAGGTAAAATACTTATACACATAAAATGTAGACAAATCTGTAGTCAAGAGAAGGGAACAGAAATTTAACCACACATGTGCTGTGGGGGACTCTGTATCTTCAGACACTTGGCTGTCTTGCTCATGAGGAGACAGCATCTCAGGACAAACACTGGAATGTGGAACTAGTTTCTCATGTGTTTTTCATCTGTTCTTCTCTCTCCCTCGCCCCCCCCCCCCCCCCCCGTTCTCTCTCAGCTTTCATGTAACCAGGCTGTCCTGGAACTTGGCTCTAGAGAAGAATGACCTTCAACTTCTGCTCCTCCTGCCTCTGTCTTCCAAGTTCTTGGGTTCTAGGTGTATGTTGCCACACTTGGTTTGTGTGGTATTGAGGATGGATCCCAGGGCTTTGTGCATGCTAGGCAAACATTGTACCAAGTGAGCTATAGCCCCAACCCAAGTCTCCATTTTGATATAAGTCACAGAGATAGAACTCAAATGTTCTGCTCCTACCTAACCCAAATTAGAGAATCCACAGAAAATCTTTTCAAGATTATGGGGAATGTTAGTCCCTTTCTTTGATCCTGTATTAGTAACTTTCCTCATTTCTATGACAAAATATGTTACAAAAGCAATTTAAGAGGGATGGCTTTATTTAAGCTCAAGGTTTAAGAGAGAGAGTCCATCATGGTGGAGAGGCAGAGCAGGAACAGGAACAGCTGCTCACCTTGCATCCAGCAGAGCAAGGTGGTGGTTCTTTTGCTTTCTCCTTTCTGTTCATTCAGTCTGGGGCCCCAACCCACAGAATGATGCCCACATTCAGGGTTGAATCTTCAAACCTGTCTGGAAATGCCCTCACAAGAAGCCCAGAGGTTTATCTCCTTTCATCCTTCCTCTTGCTTTTTTGTTTCCCTCCCTTCCTTCTTTTTTTTGAGTTTGATTTTTGCTGTTTTTATTTCTGTGTATGTGTGGGTTTGTGCATACAAGTACAGTGCCCGTGGAGGCCAGACAAGGGCATTGGATCCCCTGGAATTGGAGTTACAGGTGATTGTAAGGCACTGGATATGGGTGCTGGGACCTGAACTCCAGTCCTCTGCATGAGCAGTGTCAGCTCTTAACCACTGAGCCGTCTCAGAGGTTTATTTAAGTGATACTGCATGCAGTTCACTTGACAGTGACGACTAAGCATAGTGGGTCCCTTTGCAACTCTCAGCAGCCATGGCTGTCACGTGACTTACCACTTGCTCTTTTTCACCCACCAGCTTCTCAGACTAGAGGTACTTTCAGGGACAACAGGCACTGAATCCAATCTTGTGCCATTCCAGGGTTTGGCAACTTTCACGGATGTGGCCAAATCTCTGACCTGGGAGGAGTGGGAGCAACTGGATGCAGCTCAGAAGGATTTCTGCAGGAAGACTCTGAAGAAAGATTATGGGAGCATAGTTCTTCCTGGTGAGTGCTGGTTTTGTGCCTTATAAAAGGCGGGTGGTCTAGTTTCCTTCCTGTTGCTGCGATAAAACACTGAGCAGCCAGGTGTGGTGGCACACACCTTTAATCCCAGCACTAGGGAGGCAGAGGCAGGCAGATAGATCTCTGTGAGTTCAAGGCCAGCCTGCTCTACATAGTGAGTTCTAGGACAGCTGGGGCTACAGGGAGACCTGTCTCCAAAAGACAAAAAAAAACACTGACCAAAAGTAGCTTAGGGATCCTGCTGCAGTACTGTATGCTTTTAATCCCAGGTCTCAGGAGACAGAGGCAAGTGGGTTTCTGAGATGGAGGCCAGCATAATCTACATAGTGAGTTCCAGGTCTCAAACAAAGTAACATAGGGGAGGAAAGGCTTGCAACTCTTGGTGACAGTCCATCACTGAGGGAAGTAAGGGCAGGAACTTGAAGGCAGGCCTGCTTGCCATATCACACAACATTACTCCTGACCAAGGAACTCACTTCACAGCCAGAGAAGCATAGCAGACCACAGAGAATGCTGTTTGCTGGCTAGCTTTCTTACATTGCTGTGACAGAACACTCTGACCAATACCAACTGGGGGAAGGAAATGGCTTATTTGTCTTACATCTCTCAGGTCTTAGTTCATCACTGAGGGAGCGCAAGGTAGGAGCTCAGGGCAGGCACCTGGAGGCAGGAGCTGAAGCACAGGCCATGGAGGAACACTCCTGACTGGCTTGCTCCCCTGGCCCCTGCTCAACCTGCGTTTTTAAATTTTTAAAAAAATATTTTACTTATTACTTTTTTTTAATGTGTATGAGTGTATTGCCTGCATGTACGTGAGTACACCCATGCCATGCAATGCTGTGGAGGCCAGAAGAGGGCTTCAGATTCCCCTGGAACTGGAGTTAAGGACAGTTCGTACCCACCATGTGGATGCTGGGAATTGAACCCGGGCCCTCTGCAAGAGCAGTCAGTGCTCCTAACTGCTGAGCCATCTCTCCAGCCCCTCAACCTGCTTTCTTATACAACACAGGACCACCTGCCTGGGGTGGCATCTGCCTGGGGTGGCACCACCCACCATGGACTGGGCCCTCCCACATAATTCATCAAGAAAATACCCCACAGACATGGCCACAGGCCAGTCCAATGGAGGTAGTTCCGCAATTGAGGCTCCATCTATCCAGGTGTGTCAAGTTGAAAACCAAAGCTATCCAGCACACACAGTTCAGGTATACTGAAATGCTGCCTAGGGATGGAGCTGCCCACAATAGGCACCTCTGATGAGCAGTTAGAGCAGTGTCCCTTAGGGAGTTTAGTTGAGCACACTTAGGAGAAAGTTCAAGAGTCTTCTGCCAGCACTTGCATCTTACATGGGATGAAATAACAGCAGCCTATATTTTAATGTTTCAGGTTTGGAAACTAAAACTGTGAATACTGACTTGATTCCAAAGCAAGAGATTTTAAACGAAGCAGAGCCACAGACATGGCTACAAGAAGTTTCCCAGGGGAAGAGCCAACTATTTACTGAGTGTAGTGGGACCCACAAGGACAGGGCAGAAAAGCTGCCCAGAAACGCTCCATTGTCAAAACTCAAACATTCTGAAGAACAAGGACTCACCAGAGTGTCACATCTCACCAGTGTTTCCAAGGAAGAGAGAATTCCTAAAAATAATGAATTTGAGAACAGCACCAGCATTGGCCTTGGTCAGCACATCCCGACAGCAAAGAGGCCCATTGATAATGGTGTGTATGGGAACAAATGCAAACAAGGTTTACATGAGAAAAATACAGTGAAACCATGCAACTCCATTGACAGTAGTGTGGGCCTTTCTGACACACAGAAGCAGTTCCATGAAGACAAACCTTATAGGTGTGATAGTTGTGGGAAGAGCTTCAAACAGCGCTCAGACCTCTTTAAACACCAGAGGATCCACACAGGTGAGAAACCCTATCCATGCCAAGAATGTGGGAAAAGCTTCAGTCAGAGTGCCACCCTGGTTAAACACCAGCGGACACACACAGGTGAGAAGCCATATGCATGCCCAGAGTGTGGGGAATGCTTCAGACAGAGCTCACATCTAAGTCGGCATCAGAGAACCCATGCCAGTGAGAAATTCTATAAATGTGAGGAATGTGGGGAGGTCTGTCACATTTCCATTCTTTTTAGACATCAGAGACTACACAGAGGGGAGAGACCCTATAAATGTGAGGACTGTCAAAAGAGCTTCAAACAGCGCTCAGACCTCTTTAAGCATCAGAGAATCCACACTGGGGAGAAGCCCTATGGGTGTTTAGTCTGTGGGAAAAGCTTCAGTCAGAGTGCAACTCTCATTAAACACCAGAGAACTCACACTGGAGAAAAACCTTACCAATGTCTTGAATGTGGGGAAAGATTTAGACAGAGTACACACCTTGTCCGGCACCAAAGAATCCACCAAAATAAAGTCTTGTAACTTTGATAAACTTCTGTGTGACTTGCAGGTATGTGTTTGTGTTTGTTTTTGAGACAGGGTCTCACCATGTAGCCCTGGCTGTCCTAGAACTCACTTGTGTTGACCAGGCTAGCCTCAAACTCAAAGACATCCACCTGCCTGGGATTTCAGGCATGTGCCACCATACCCAGAATGATTTGTGTTTTGATTGTTCAGTTGTTTTTTTTGTCCAGAAACTATTCTTTTTTTAAACAATGTTACTGAATTTTTGTGTATTTCATACATAAAATTATCTTTATAATACCCCCTTCTCCTTTGGTGCCATCTAATAGCTCCCACCACACACACACACACACACACACACACACACACACACACACACACACACACTGGAGTTCATACGTTCTGTCATTTGTGTTAAGGCCTATCATATAAAGTTTGTGTCTCCATATGTCCCTCAGTGCAAGTTCATCCACTGGGATCTAGTCAGCCTATCTAGAGTCCATCCCTTTAAGAAGATCAGCTCATTCTCATCCAGCAGTAATGAGCTGCCAATAATTCTTTGACTAAGATTGGGGCCTGCTGTTCATTTCCACAGTTCTTTGCTGGGTTTTGTCTGCCTAAGTTCGCATGGGTCTTATGCATGCTGACACCATTGCTGTAGGTTTGTATGAGAAGGATCCCAGGGACCTGTAGGACTATTTCTGTATGGTCATGTACCTCCTCCCTGGCTCTTACAATCTTTCCACCCCCAGAAACTGTTCTTTATCATCACTCACAGATCATATTGCCTTAGGCCTGTCACACAAGATAGGTTAGGTATGATTTGAGTCTTAGTATACACTTTGATAAAGAATTTCATGGGCCAGCAAAATGACTCAGCAGGTGAAGGTGCTTGCTGTTCAAGCCTCGAAACCTAAGTTCGATCTCTGGTACCCATGTAAAGGTGGAAAGAGAGAACTGACTCCACAAAGTTGTCCTCTGACCTCTGTACATGTGTGCTCATGTATACATCATGCACATATTCACACAATAATAAGCTTTATTTACTTTTCACATTTATTGTGGGACTGGGTGGGGGACACATGCCAGAGTGCACGGAGGTCAGAAGACAACTTGGAGGAGGTGCTTCTTTCCTTCCAACATGGTGCTATCCAGATTTTGAACTCAGTTCATCAGGTTTAGCAGCAAGTGCCTTTACTGCCTGTGGCATCTCTCTGGCCCAGTACTTTTTTTTTTTTTTTTAAATTAATAACCACGCAATTAGTAGAAGCATTTCATTACAACAGCATTGATCTAGTCAGTAACAGCTTCCAGAGCAAAGATGCATCTCTTTCAAAACTGGCTATAAATTTTTAGGTTCACAGTGTTGAATTAATAGTTAAACATTATTGTACTCAGTATAAATCCTATAAGACATAAAATTGAATGAGGTTTTAACCTTTAAAAAAGATCCCCATTTCTTTTTAAAATACACTGATTCATACAGAAAAACTTTTTTTTTTGTCTTTTTGAAGCAGGGTCTCCCTGTAGCCCCAGCTGTCCTAGAACTCACTATGTAGACCAGGCTGGCCTTGAACTCACAAATGTCTGCCTGCCTCTGCCTACCAGGTGCTGGGATTAAAGGCATGTGCCACCACACCTGGCTATTTTTGACTTTTAAAGAATGTGTGTGTGTGTGTGTGTGTGTGTGTTGTGTGTGTCACACCCAGGTTGGCCTTAACTGACAATCCACTTGCGTCTTTCATGAGTGATGAGATTGTGTAGGTGTATCACCAAGCCTGGCAACAAAAATTAATTTTGCAGTCTCTCCTCTTCCCACCCCCATTCTAGGAGAGGAGCCTATGGGTTCAATTTTCTAACTTCATTTCTTTTAAAACAAGAAATACATAAAGCTAGACATGGTGGCACATGTGTGCCTTTAGTTCCAGCACTTGGGAGGCAGAGGCAGGCTACATAGCAATTTCCAGGCCAGCTGGGACTACAGGGAGAACCTATAAAAAGACAAAAAAAAAAAAACAAAAAAACCAAAAACAAAAACACACTAATTGCTAATATTTCCTCTTTATGGTTTATTTAATAGGATCCATTATTTTTATTTTTTATTCTTGATCTTTTTGAGACAGGGTCTCTCTATAGCTCCAGCTGACTAGGCTGGCCTTGATCTCAGAGATTGCCTGCCTCTGTCTCCCAAGTGTTGAGGTTAAAGGGGTGCACCACCACACCCAGCAGGATCCATTATTTTTATTTATGTGTAGAGGAGTTGTATGTGCATGTGCATACAAATGCCTGTGGAGGCCAGAAGAAGGCATTAGAACCCCTGGAGTTGAAGTTGCAGGCTGTCCTGAGCCACCATCAGTGTGGGTGCTGGGAACCAAACCCAGGTCCTCTGTAAGAGCAGCCATGCTGTGCTCTTGACCAGGCTCCCACTTTTTGATTGATTGATCTTTATGTGTATGAGTGTTATGCCTGTATATGTGTAAGTGCACCTGTGTTGTGATATGCCCACAGTGGACAGAAGAGGGCGTGAGATCCCCTGGAACTGAAATACAGACAGTGGTTGTTAGCCCCCATGTGGGTGATGTGATTTGAACCTGGGTCTTCTGGAAGAACAGCCAGTGCTCTTAACCACTGAGCCATCTCTCTAGTCCCCCATTCTTATTTTTTATTTTGTATGTACGAGTGTTTGCCTGCATGTATGTATGTACTTCATGTATATGCATGGTGCCTGTGGAGGTGAGAAGAGGGTGTAAAAATCCGTGGAACTAGAGTTACTGATGGTTAGCCACCATGTGAGTGCTGGGAACTAAACCCACGTCTTCTGCAAAACCAACAAATTCTCTTAACTGCTGAGCTACCTCTCCAGCCCTCACCTTCTCCCCACTGTTTTTTTCCCCCCTTTGAGACAGGGTTTCACTGTATAGCCCCAACTGGCCTGGAACTTACTGGGTAGATCAGGGTGGCCTCAAACGCAGAGCTCAGTCTTTGCCACCAGAGTGCTGAGATTAAAGGTATGCACCACTGTGCGTGGCCTAGGGTCCACTATTTGATAAATTTTAGTGTCCTAGAAGGTAATTACTACATTGTGTATGTGTGCACTGGTGATACTGACAGCCTAAAGCATTTTCGTCTGAGGCTTTTTATTATAAGGACATCAGGAAGTGGCCCAGGGGGATTTCCTGGGAGTCTTTCAAAAGAGAAGGGGGTGAGGACAGAAACTCCTGTTCTTGGTAATAGAGTTCACATCACATAATAGTCTTCATAAATTGGATCCATGTTCAGCTCTCCATTTGAGAGCCAAGCAAGTCTCTGAGGTAAGTAGAAACCGATCTCTTCCCCATTTATGAAGGAAACATCAGTGAGCCCATGGTTTGTCCAGTCAATGCAAGTTTTTCCTTGAGTGCTTCTCACACCATAGTACAGTTTCTGACTGTATCCCTAACTTCCTTCCCTGCCTCCATTCCAACTGGACCTCTGCAGGGGCAGACTGGAGAACCCTCTAGCAGCATTGGGTGCACACATTGACATAAGAGATACAAGCTGGGAGGTTTAAAACCTGCTTACTCCTTGACTTTCCAGCGCTGTCCTTTTTCATTCATGTAATGAGACAAAGGAAAGACATGTAATAGGGCACCTTCTTGACCATAGCTACACCATGTTAAAGTTTAGGCCGACTCTAGTTTCTGAAATTGTTAAGGCAGTTGGCCCAGGGTATGGGAACACATGCCAGCTTGGACGCTGGTTGTCTTGGAAACAGGTCAGAGCATCCTAGCGTGCTCCTGCTAACTGCTGATTTATGGCTTCTGTAGGTTACGCTAGGCTTGCTTCTGCAAAATAGTAATTGTTGATGAACAGAATAGAAATTATTTAGGGACTCTCCACCAGTATGCTTGGGAACCTAAACTTTGCACTCCTGGTTATAGTTTCTCTGTACAAGGAGTACCCCACAGCAGGTTGGAAGACTTAGGGAAACTTTTGAAGATCAGATTCCTAGGATACAATTGCTATACAACAACCCCCCCCCCCAAAGAGGGAACTTTGTGACCAGTAAAGGCAATGTACCATGACCAATGTAGAATAAGAGTAAGATTGATAATGTCTGTTTATGAAAGAGGAGGAAGCTAGTTCCATGCAGGTGTACTATGGTTCAGGTGGGAGGTTTGGGGGGAAAATTGTGTTTTTTTAAAAATTTATTTTACTTATTTTTATTTTACGTGTACGAGTGTATTGCCTGCATGTGTGTGAGTGCACCCGTGTTGTGCAATGCCTTGGAGGTCAGAAGAGGGCTTTGGATTCCCCTGGAACTGGAGTTAAGGATGGTTCATAGCCATCATGTGGGTGCTGGGAATTGAACCCAGGTCCTCTGCAAGAGCAGTCAGTGCTCTTAACTGTTGAGCCATCTCTCCAGCCCCTCCCCCCAAATTGTATTTTCTTATGTATTTCCTTGATAATGTTTGCTCAAGCTTAACGCTCAATGATTGGCTTCTGTATTCTGCTTGCTTGCTTAGCAACATAAGCAATATAAAAAAGCCAGAGTGCTTAGGCTCAGGGCTGCACTAGGACCCTCTAGGAAAGTGTAGCTGGCCATAATAAATCTTTCTCTAGACTCACCTGTCTGTCTGCTCGGGGCATTTGTGGATCAGACTATAACACATGGGGCTGGCTTTATCATTCATCCCTGTTAGACTTGTTTTACTTATTTTTTTATGTGTATGACTGCTTTGCCTACATGTATGTAAGTGCACCCATATCATGCAATGCCCATGGAAGCCAGAGGGCATTGGATCCTCTGGAAATGGCTTCACATTTTATTCTTTAAAGGAAATAAACTGGGGGTGGGGGTGGGGGTGGGGATGGCTTAGTGGGTAAAAGTGCTTGCAACAAAACCTGATGACCTAAGATGGATGCCTGGATTCCATATGGTAGAAAGAGAGAACTAAGCTGGGTGTGGTGGTGCAGAGGCAGGCAGATTTTTGTGAGTTCAAGGCCAGCCTGGTCTACAGAGCAAGTTCCAGGCCAGCTGGGGCTACAGGGAGACCCTGTCTCAAAAAGACAGATGAGAGAGAGAGAGAGAGAGAGAGAGAGAGAGAGAGAGAGAGAGAGAGAGAGAGAGAGAGAGAGAGAGAGAGAGAGAGAGAGAGAGAGAGAGAGAAACAGCTAACACCTGAAGGTTGTCCTCTGACCTCCACAGATATAGGTTCATTCACACCCAGACACAAATAAATGCAAAGAATAAAAAATTAAATGTGGTGATGCACAACTAGTTCCAGCACTCAGGAGCTGAGGCAGGAGGACTGTACTCCCAGACCAGACTGAACTACATACCCTATCTCTCTTTTTTGGGGGGGGGGTTGATTGATTTTTATTTTATGTGTATGAGTATTTTGTCTGCATATAAGTGTCAAATAATGCCAGGCAAAGGAACTGGAGTTTCAGATGATTGCTAGCTGCCATGTGGGTGCTGGGAACCAAACCTGGGTCCTCTGTAAGAGCAGCCAGTGCTTTTAACTGCTGAGCCATTTCTCCAGCCCCAAGACACTATTTTAGAAAAAAAAAAAAAAATTAGAAGCTGTGGGTGGTGGCGCTCACCTTTGGTCCCAGCACTCAGGAGGCAGAGACAGGTGGTCTCCATAATAGCAAATCCAGGCCAGCTGTGACTTACAGGGAGACCTTGTCTCAAAACAACTTTAAAAAAAAAAAAAAAGTGTGTGTGTGTCTGTGTAGATATATGCACATGTATCAGCAGGTGTCCTCAGATCCTCAGAGGCCAGAAGATGTCAGATCTCCTGAAGCTGGAGTTACAGGCAGTAAGCCACCACACCTGGCTTACACACACTCATTTTTTAAAAAAGATATCTGATGTCCACCTTTGGCCTCCACTGTCATGTGCACACCCAGATGTATACACAAAAGTAAAACCTTGAAGTAAACACCTGTGGTGGTGACTTTGTGATTATGAAAATGTGAAATTAGAGAAACTGCCTTTAGGGTCAGTCTAAAGAGAAATCCTGCCAGGTGTGTCGCATCACACCCATAATCCCAGCACTTGGAATGCAAGGAAGAGTACTGCAAATCTGGAATAGTAACGAGTTCTAGGCCAACCTGACCTTGCCTTAAAGAAAAGTAAAAAAATATCCAAGGTTGAAAAATTAGTGGCAAGACGCTTATTTATAGCTACAGAAAATGACAGCCACACTCGTGGCCTGAACATGGCTTGAACCTGAAACTTTTGATTTGGAGAGAGATGTTTCTTCGCATCACAAGATCCTGGGGATGGAGGTGGGTTTGTGCTTTACCAGGCCAATTTCAGCAGCTCTCAGCTGCTGAGGCGGCTTTGTGCCACCATGGAAAACACTATACATCCTGGGCAGAATTTGATAGGGGTACGGTCAAAGCCAGTGAATTGCAGGTGAAATGGACCTGGGAGGTAAAGAAATCTTCCAGCTTTTCAGGGCCATTGCAAGAAGCGCATCCGACTGGCTACTCTCCCCCCCCCCCCCCCCCCCCCCCCCCCCGGCTCCGGGGTGTGTGTGTGTGTGTACGCGCCTGTTTGAAACAGGGTCTCCCTGTAGCCCCAGCTAGCCTGGAATTCAGTATGTAGACCAGGCTGGTCTCTATCTCACAGAGGCGCACCTGCCTCTGCCTCCCGAGTGCTGGGATTAATCTTTTCGCATTTCTTTCTTCCCAGAGCTAGGGATGGAGCCAGAGCCTGTGCTTTCTAGGAAAAACCACTACAGCACTGATACACACCCCAGTCCCTCTCATTTCTCATAACAAATTTAAGGGAAAAGGCAAGACCACCAGACTGCCCTCGCCCCCTTTCCCGTCTTCAGGGATAGGAAGCCCAGGATAAGGAAGACAGTGACCTACTTCCCGTGAGCCTCTGTTCCCTGAGCCGGCAGCGACGCCTGCTCCCTTCCCAAGAACTCTCGCGCGCAGCTCCGCTCTGCGGACACCAGGACTCCAAGATGGCGTCGCTCGGTGAGTTCGCGGCTTTGCGTTGGATGGCGGGGCGGCGTGCAGTGCTCAGGGCCGCACTGGGGTGGGAAGGAGCTGCGGAGACGTGCTTTTCGCTTGGAGGCTTCACCAAGGCCTCCTTGGGGGCGCACTGGTCACTTACCCCAGGGTCCTGCACCGTCCTACACTCCGCTACGCAAGGCCTCTGCCTGGGTTGTGGATGGCAGTCCTTCCGGCCTGCGCATGCGCTGCCTTAAATTACTTGTAGCAGTTTCCACGGATTAATAAATTGCTTGCTTTTTCCACCCGCGACACAAGCGATTGCATTTGAACCTGCCTTACAGGGGCAGCGCCTGTCCTTCCCAAAGCCTAGTTTCAGATTAAGATCCAGGAATTGCCTAGGATGGTGCCTGACACCACGTTATGGTCCCTTGGAGATTAGATAGGCCTGCAGAGGTGCAGTGACCTGTTCAAGGTCACAAGTCCAGCACGCTGAACTGGAATTCAAACCTAAGTTGATGGGGCCTCTTGGTACTTGGCCTAATTCGCCAAGGTGTCCTTAAGACAGACAAGTATGCGTTCCTGTGATACGCATGTGTAAATCTCTGCAGTCATTGTGCATGCTGCTTGTTTTTGAGACAGGGTCTCGTGTCAACCAAGTTGGACTCTTAACTTGGTGTGTGGCTGAGGATGATCTTTAGTTCCGGATTCTCCATCCCCCTCCATGCCAGTTTTTTTCTTTGGGGGAGGGGGGCTGAGACAGGGTCTCACAATGTAGCCCTGGAACTTCCTATATAGACCAGGCTAGCCTTGAATTTACAGAGACCTGCCTGCCTCTGCTGGGATTAACTTGTACCTGGCCCAATCTTTGTTTTTTAATACTGGCTTTGCTGTGAAACACAGAGGCTGTTCTCTAACTTCTTCCTGCTGTCTGAGTACTGAGATTACAAGCTTAGACTAGATAACCAGCATTTAGTTTGGGGGGGGGTTGTACCTGAGTGTGGGTGTCTGTGAAGGCTAGAATCCCCTGGAGCTGGAGTTAGAGGTGGTTGTGAACTATGGGTGGTGGGAACTGAACTTGGGTGCTCTGCAAGAGTAGGAAGTGCTCTTAATCAATGAGCCATCTCTCCAGCCCTGACCCAATTTTATTTTGGCATTTTTGAGACAGGGTCTCCCTGTAGCCTCAGCTGGCCGGGAGCTAGCTATGTAGACCAGGTTGGCCTTGAACTCACAGTGATCCACTTGCCTCTGCTTCCTGAGTGCTGGGATTAAAGGTGTGTGCCACCACACCCAGCCCTGACCCCATTTTAAAAATGAGAAAATAATGGTCTGATGTGGTGTGACACTTCTAAGGTCACATGTAGTTTGACAGAGGCAGGATTTTTTTTAATTTTTAAAATTGATGTGTATGAATGCATTGCCTGCATGTATGTATGTGCACCCATGTTGTGCATTGCTCACAGTCTGAAGAGGCTACCAGAGTCACTGGAACTGGAGTTAGACAGTTGTCATCTGCCATGTGGGTGCTGGGAACCAAACCCAGGTCCTCTACAAGAGCAGCCAGTGCTCTTAACTGCAGAGCTATCTCTCCAGCCAACAGTGGCAGTTTTGATTAACCACTGTGTGCCTTGTTTTGATATTTTTAAGTTGTTTGTTACTGTAAGTGTATGTATATGTGTATGTGCATGTATGTGTGGGCATGTGAGTGCTGGAGTGTGTGAAGGTCAGAGGACAGTGTTCAGGAGTGGGTCTTCCACTGTAGGTTCCAGGCATCCAACTTAGGTAGTCAGGCTGGTATAGTGCGTAGTGCTTTTACCCACTGAATCATTTCACTGAATCTTCCCCTCCTCCAACCCCATTTAGGGGGCTGGTTCTGAAATTTCAGCAACAACATTCCTCTGCCTCTGAGTGCTGGGATTACAGGCATGTGCCACCACACCCAGCTTGTTGGTGTTCTTTATCTTGGCCTGGGAAGATGAAGGGGTCTGAAAAAATGGAGTGTGAATCTGTGTAAAATGGACATGAGACTATCTGTGATCCACAGTGGCAGTTTTCAGAAGAGACAGTATGAAAGACAGCACTGAAGCCAGCACTCAGGAGGCACTCAGGAGGCTGGTCAGGAGGATTGTCCCAAGTTTAAGGTCAGCCTGGGCTACAAAGGGAGACCTGTCAGAAAGTTGCAGGGGGAGGGGCTGGAGAGATGGCTCAGAGGTTAAGAGCACTGGCTACTCTTTTAGAGGATCTGGGTTCAGTTCCCAGCACCCACATGGTGTATTTCAGTTCCAGGCACCCATGTGGTAGATAACAACCATCTAAACCTCCAGTTTCAAGGGATCTTATGCCCTCTTCTAGCCTGCATGGGTACTGTATAACACAAGTATACCTACATACACGCAGGCAAAACACATAAAATACCCATAAATCAAAAAAAAAAAATTATTTTTATTTTTTTGTCTTTTTGAGACAGGGTCTCCTTGTAGCCCCAGCTGTCCTGGAGCTCACTATGTAGACCAGGCTGGCCTTGAACTCACAGAGATCCACCTGCCTCCCGAGTGCTGGGATTAAAGGTGTGTGCCACCACGCCTGGCTATATTTTTTATTTTTATTTTATGTGTATGAGTGTACTGTCTGCATGTATGTGAGTGCACCCACGTCATGCAGTGCCTCAGAGGTCAGAAGAGGGCTTTGGATTCGGGTGGAACTGGAGTTAAGGACGATTCATAGCTGTCATGTGGGTGCTGGGAATCAAATTTGGGTCCTCTGTGAGAGCAGTCAGTCCTCTTAACTGCTGAGCCATCTTTCCAGCCCTTTTTTTTTTTTTTTTTTTTAAGTTGGTAAAAAAGAAGCATTGAAATTTGGCATCTTATTTGAGTTAAAGTGAAGAGCACTTTAGACTAAGGATTAAGCAACTTAGTACATGTAGCTAACATGTGGTAGATACCTGTAATTTAGCACTTGGGAGGCTGAGTCAGGATTATTGCCATTTGTTCAAGGCTAGCTTGGGCTATGTGACAGATACCAGGCCAGCTAGTGCTACATAGTAAAACTATGTCCAAAAAACCAAGCAAACAAAGAAAATTGAGTATATGAGAGATAACTTGGTAGAGTGCTTACCTAGCATGCACAAAGCCCTGGGTTACATCCCTAGCGCCACAGAACACCAGGTGCACTGTAATCCCAGCAATTGCAAGTTGGGATGATTAGGAATCCAGGGTTATTCTTGGCTATATGCCAAGTTAGAGCTCAACGTGGGCCACATGAGAACCTGACTCCAAAAATTTTAAAAAAGGGTACTTGGGCTGTTAAACTGTTTGTTTATGAAGCTTTTGCTGAGCAGTTATACCATTATATACTATTAGGCTTAAAGTAGTAGTTTTGATGTGAAGTATTTATTCATAATATGATTTCTATACCACCTCTCTATGCTTCTTGAATAGTGAAATGGTAACAAAAGAATGCTATTGTATTATTGGGGATTATTCCGTGTTTGTTACTTTTCAGTACCACTGAAGGAGAAGAAACTCATGGAAGTTAAACTGGGAGAGCTGCCAAGCTGGATACTGATGCGGGATTTCACCCCCAAAGGCATTGCCGGAGCATTTCAAAGAGGTCAGCGTCTTAGGGATGTGTAGACAGATGCAGGCCCCTCATCTTCGAGTCTCTTTTCCCTGAGTTAATTCGGGCAATAAAAGCTTTGTTATCTGAAGATGTCTAAGTTCTGTAAAGAACAGGGAAGATGGTTCACCTGAATTCTGTATTTTCTTAGACTTATTAAAGTTAGCCTTGAGACAATTCAGTCAGTAAACTGTTTCCTGCCCAAGCATGGGGACCTGAGTTTGGATCTCCAGTACCCATATAAGTCTGGAGTGATGATGCATGCCTGTAACCCCAGCACTGGGAGTCAGAGATAGGATGATCCTAGCCAGTTGATGAGCTCCAGGCTCAGTAAGAGGCCCTACCTCAAAATACAAAGATACAAAGTGGAGAGAGAGAGGGGTAGAAACCTGCTTTCCACCTTTGACCTCTACACACTTGTCCTCAAATGTCTGTCAGACACACTCATGTCTGTCAGACACACTCAGACACACCCAGACACACACACACACACAAATCCCAAAACAAAAAAGACTAGCTCTGAGATGTTTCAGCCCAGGAAATGTTTTGCTTCTTTTGAGACAAGGTCTCTCTGAGGCTCAAGCTAGCTTTGAATTGTCTGGCTTCAGCGTTCTAAGTGCTGGTCCCACCAACCCCAAATAACTGTTGCTTTGAATCAGTGCTTCTGCCTTTGTCTTAGAAAAATCTTTGAAAAACCAGGTGTGGTAGAACACACCTGTAATCCCAGCAGTAGGGAGCTGGAAGCCAGAGGATCCATTTAGTCTGTTTTTGAGACAGGGTCTCCCTATAGCCCCAGCTGGCCTGGAACTCACTATGTAGACCAGACTGGCCTCGAGCTCACAGAGATCTATCTGCCTCCGCCTCCCAAGCCCCACTACATCAGCAGGATCAGGAGTTTAAAGTCACCCCTAACATGTCAAGTTAGAGATCAATCTGAGATACAGGAGACTCTGTCTCAAAAACTTTTGAGAAAATGAGTTTGAATCATGGTGGACATTAGGATCATATCATGCTCACTCCTTTGCCAGGCCTTCCTAGGTGAGCATTGGTGACCCCTCCTTCATGTCTGCATTAAAAAACTACAGGGCCTGGAGACATGGCTCAGTGGTTAAGAGCACTAGCTGTTCTTGCAGAAGACCTGGGTTCAAAGCCCAGCACCCACATGGCATCTAATAACCATCTATAATGTCAGTTCTAGAGGATCTGATGGCCTCTTTGTCCTTTGTGGGCACTGTACAATGTGGGTGCACTTAACACACAGTTCAACACTCATAAACAGTGCAGGTACAATCGTCACATGGGTCCTGCATGGTCTCTGGCCTCCATGGGTACTCCTTCTGTTTTCCTAATCTGGCCATCTATGGCTATCCTGTGGCTTTCCCTCCAGCTTTGCACGGAGACTATTCCTTTTCCCCACATCTGGTCATAGCTGCCCTCAAAGTGGATGTGGCTCCTTCCCTGTTCCTTTTTTAATTTTATAAATTTGTTTTTATGTGTGAGAGTATAAGTGTATTGCCTGCATGTATATAAGTGCACCCGTGTCATGCAGGGCACGTGGACGTCAGAAGGTGGCGTTAGATCCCCTGGAACTGGAGTTAGATGGTTGTTAGGCACCACATGGGTGCTGGGAATCAAACCCTGATCTTCTGCAAGAGAGTCAGGGCTTCACCATCTCTCCAGCCCCGATTTACTTTTAATTCCTATCAGATCATTTTGTTCTTTTTCTTCTTTTGTTGTTGAGGCATGTAAGATCAAGTTGGCCTTGAACTCAGAGAGATCTGCCTGCCTCTGCTGTGATTATAAGTGTGAGTCACGATGTGTTTATGTGATAGGGTCTCATAGTGCAGGCTGACTGAAACTTCCTATGTAACTGAGGAAGGACTTAAACTTCTGATCCTCCTGCCTCCCCCTGCTGAGTGCTGGGATTACAGGTAGGCATTCACCACCATGCCTGGCTCAGTTTATTCTTTTTTTAAAAATTTTTAATATTTTATTATTTTTATTTTATGTGTATGCATGTATTGCCTACATGTAGGTAAGTGCACCTGTGACATGCAATGCCTCAGGACAGAAGAGGTTGTCAGGTACCCTGGAACTGGAGTTACGGATGGTTGTTAACTGCCACTGCCATGTGGGTGCTGGGATTTGAACCCAAGTCTTCTGCAAGAACAGCCAGTGTTCTTAACTGCTGAGCCATCTCCAGCTCCAAAAATATTTATGTGTAGTGTATTCCCTGAATGTGTAAGTGCATCAATGTTGTGCAGTGCCAGTGGGGGTTAGAAGAAGGTATCAGATTCCCTGGAACTGGTGTTATGGATGGTTGTTAAGCCTCCATGTGGGTGCTGGGAATTGAACCCTGGTCCTCTACAAGAGCAGTGCTCTTAACCACAGAGCCATCACTCCAGCCCCTAGTTCATTCTTTCCCACCAACTCCAGAGTATATTTGCTCTCTCTTGTAACTGCACCTGTCCGTATGGATTTATAGCACTCAATGCAGACATGCAGGGCTTTGGCAGACCCAGATGGTCATAACCAGGTGGTGGGGGGGAATCAGGGGCAGAGTTAAGAGTATGTAGACTTCCAGGGCTGCAGGTGAGGGCGAAGTAGTATCAAAGACTAACCAAGTTTATCAAGACGGAGCCAGGTCTACAAGATCAAAGGGTAGTTGGAGAGTTAATGCGGCCTAAGCTCTGAAGCTGGTGTTGGCTTACAGAGACGGGACCCCACAGGGCATTTGTATTGTCCACCTTTATCATAAGTGTAGGGTGAGTGGCTTAAAGAGCCCTAGGACTGGGTCCCTGAACTCTGGCCAGACCCCACTCTACTGTGGGAAACATTCTGGGCAGTTAGCACCTCCTGTGTTGCAGGTTATGACCGGTACTACAACAAGTACATCAATGTGAGGAAAGGGAGCATCTCCGGTGTCAACATGATCCTGGCGGCCTATGTGCTCTTCAGCTACTGCATTTCTTACAAGGAACTCAGTAAGTGCTCTGCCTGACCTAGTCCCTGGTGTACCAGGAGAATGCAGCAGGGTTTGCTGTTAGGTATCTATCCTGGTGTGTCCTGGGTGATACTGTTTTAAGCAGGGAGCTTAGGATAGAGAACACAGGAAAAACAAGGTGAAATTAGGGTAAAGGTTGTTGTATTTTGGAAGCATATTGCAGATAATGCAGCTCCTGCTAAGAGTTGGCTCATCTTCCTGGACATCACTGAGGAGAGCAGTAGATTGAATGGGTTAAGCCAGTGTCTGTAGTGCTTGGAGGAACACAGCTATTCCTGCCTGGAGCTGGTAACAGCACCTCTGAGTAGGTTTTCCCGGGCTGTTTCTCAAAGTGTTCAGCCCCTGCCAGTATCATACCAGAGCAACACTTCTAATGGTCAGGCTCTAGGGGCTATCCATGTAGGTCTATGTCCTGGGGAAGAGCCCACAGAAGGATTTATTTGACCACATAGTCTGCTGCCATCCCTGTCCTGTGTGTTTATTAATACACCTGTTAAGGGGCTGTCTTTCCTAACTTTAGAACATGAGCGACTGCGCAAGTACCACTGAAGAGGGGCTGGTGTGGAATGCGGTGCACTCCTGGACATGACCACCTGCCTAGCTCCCATCAATGAAGAGTCCAACCAAGGCTGGATCTTCCTATATCCTGAGAACTAATGTCCAATAAAAGCGACTGGTTCTTGTTCTCTTGCCTGGTGTAGCATTGTCCTGTGCTCTTAATGCCCTCTGCACACTGCTACTTGCTTGGGATCATGTCCCAGCTCACTAGGGACAGCATGTCACCTGGGGTTTATAGCTGCCCAAAATGCCCTCACCATAAGCACTGCTACTTTGGTTGATTGACAACACAGCACAGGCCCTGTGACCCTGAGAATACTAGACCACTCCCGGCCAGTGTGTGGAGGTGCCATTGTGGTGAGCCCAAAGTTATCGGTATCCATGCCATAGGCAGTGATTCCTGTTGACTTGCTGGAGCAGGCTTGGGATGGGCGTGAGAAAACCTCAGGCCTGTCGGAGGTGAGCTGCCCCTGAAGCACTCCCAATTCCTGACTCTAAAAGAGGCCAGACACTAGTTCCTTATGGGGGATTGGGGATGTAGAGTAGTATGCATTGCAGTCTCTAGGTCCTGGGATCAATCTAGGCCCAGCTTGAATGAACAGGCGTCATCAACTGTCACCTGGGCTAAGATGCAAGGCCCCTTCCCAGCAGTGCCCCTTGGCTCATTTCTTGGAAGGGACGGACACAGCTTTGAGCCCAGCAGCTAGTATATTCTCTTCCTCAGGAGTCCCTTAAGCAACAAACATGGGTTAAAAAAAGCTTTTTGCTTTTTAATCAATTCATAAAAAGCATTCTTATAATTGAACTTGGATAGGCCCACTTGCCCAGCAGGTTGCAGGTGATGGATTCACATTTTCTAGGCTCAAGGATGGGCGGCCTCTGCATGCCACAGGTGTGAGTGACAACGCAGAGCTTGCTTGGCAGGAGGTAGGCACAGATGGACTGGGTCAGCTACTTCAAGGGTGATCTGCAGTTCTGGCTGAAGGTGCCCCACGAGAAAGCAAGCCCAGACAAGTGCCTGGCACCCCTTTCACCTGCCACCACCTGGGCGGAACCAGGCAGTGAGTACTCCCGACTTTGCCAGGAAGGGATCTGTTCAAATCACATTGATAGGCACAGCTTCAGGATTCAGCAGGACATGGAGGAAGCAGGTGTGGCCTGACCACAGCTCCACATGATCCACCCATCCTTGCCAGGAGCTGGTGTTTAACAAGGCCCTGAGGGGAAATGGCCAGCCATCTTCCACACAGTACCATGGAGCACAGTCCTTCCCATCTCTCCCTCCCATGGAGGGCGAGGGTGCACGGAGTCCCAGAAATGAGGCACTGATGTCCAGGCTGACGACACTGGCTCAGGGAACCCCACCGAAGCACATGTCCCTTCTCAGAAAAAGACTACAGCAAATGATCAGAAACTAGGAGGCACAGCCCCTAGAGTGAGCCTCTGCACATGTGCCTGCGCTCCAGCCAGAGTCCTGCCTGCTGCTATACTGGGGAAGTCAGGTGCACACTCCCAGCAGCAGGGCCTGTTGGGCTGCTCCATGGTGGCGCCATATGCTCTCACTGTCCACTGAGAAAAGCCAAGTGCCCTTTGGTGCATCTGTTGGCGTAGTGTCCTTTTTCACCACACTGGGAACAGCAGGAGGAGGAAAGAGAAAAACACCTTTCAGAAACCATTTCCAACTAAGATGTGCCCATCAAATACCAGTCTAGGAAGAGCTCTGGAGTTCTCAGTGGTAACAGTTCTGCTGAGGAAGCTCGGAAAGAAGGTGCAGAGGCACAGACCAAGAGAGCAACGCAGCAGGCAGGGCAGTGTGCGGGGAGCTCCTCCAGCCCCACCTCACCTGCACTGGACCCAGGCCTGCCTAACGGGCTCCCACAAGTAGGTGTTAGGATAAGGAAGCCCACAGCACTGAAGAGCTTCCCACCAGCCCCTCCACATGGCAGGCCAGTCACTTACCTTTGAGCCAACGTGTGGGGCTCCCTGAGAAGACAGGAGGGACCAACTCCAGAGAAGCCACCAGGCTCCTGCCCCAATTCAGGAGCCACTGCTGAGAACACTGAGGGTGGGCTGTACCCAAAGCTTCCCCTCCTGGCTCTTGCATAATGTCTGAGCTACTCAAGGGTTTCAATCACAGGGTCAGAGTGATGGGCCAGTGGGCAGATCTGGTGAGGTAGGGCTGGCAGTGTGACCTGATAGAGTTGCCCTTGACTTGTCCCGCCTGATTAACCAGGCAGGCCCTTCTGTATGCCTGTTCTTACAAGTCTTCAAACCGCGGAAGGACATCAAAAGTGAGCGGCAGCCTTGAGGCAGCCCTGAACAAACCACCAGGAGGTGCTACATCAGTGCTGCAGGTCCCCGCCCCGCCCTCTTCAGTCCTTGCCTCCTTGGCTTTCCTCTCAGAACCCAGCCTCCTATATACGATTTCTGTGTGGCCCAGGTAGCTGCTCCTTAGCCCTTGGGCTAATGTGACCACCAGAAGGGACCGGAAGCCCCGCTCTGAGTACCTGGTACACCCACTGGTCTCCACAGCTGGTCCGGAGGAATACAGAAGTCCCCTGAGGCGTGCTAAGATTTAGTTTGGTCCCCTTGGTCCCACCTCCAAGTCTCAGAACCTGGGAGTGCTTGCCTCAGAGGAGGCCTTGCTGAATAGTGCTGGATGGAGGCCTCTTTTGAGAAATAATCAGGGAAGCTTGGCCTCCCTGCCTCACCTGCTCCACATTATTTCTCACACATACCTTTTTTTTTTGGTCATTTTGAGACAGGGTCTCCCTGGGAGTGCTGGGACTAAAGGCGTGCGCCACCACACCTGGCTTCTCACATATACTTTTAAGTACCTGCCTTCCCTTCCTTCAGGAATACCAACTCCTCCTCGGGTAGAGCAGGGGCTAAAGAGTGCCTGGCTGTGTGGCACTGCGCTACATGATTTTACCCCCAGAAAGGCAAAATCAGAAACAATCAACATGGCTTTTCTTTCAGCAGGATATTAGTTCTCCCACAAAATGAAGCACTGTAATTGCAGCCTGCTTTGGCCATGGCCTTTCTTAAGGTCTGGCAAGAGCATCTCAAGTGTATACCCTTTGGCTCAGAACTGCCTGTAGAAGGCACAGATGTCAGCACCTTTCAGACAAGAACTAACAAATGTCCAAGTGTTACAGTCAGCACTCTTGTTAGAAGCAAAAGCCATGGTCTTTCAAGAGAACCAGTAAAGTAAGGAATACAAACTTCTTGTGGTTATTATGGAGCAACTGAAAAAGATCAGACTTCCACGCAAAGAACCCAAGGTATTACAAAGAAAAAAATGTCACAGGGCTGGCTCAGCAGTTAAGAACAGTGGCTGCTCTTCCAGAGGACCCAGGTTGGGTTCCCAACATCCATATGGCAGCTAACAACTGGCTGTAACACCAGTTTCAAGGGAATCCGATGCCCTCTTCTGACCTCCACAGGCACTGCATGACACTTACATGTGTACTTACATACATTCAGGCAATACTCATATACATAAAATTTAAAAAGAAAAAAAGGGAGGTCAGAATGCATGTAGATTGGGAATCTCCCCATATACACGTGTAAATATACACAGGTATATGTATATATTTCCCCTTAATGTTTTGTGTGTGTGTGTGTGTGTGTGTGTGTGTGTGTGTGGTGTGCAGGACTATGTGTTCAAATGTGTGTGGGCTTAGGTGTGTATGAGGGTACATGTGCATATGTCTGTCTATGGAGGCCTAAAGTTGATTTGGCACAGTCCTCAGTTGCTTTCTACTTTATTTACTGAGGCAGGGTCTTTTAATTGACCTCAGAGCGCATGGACTAGCTACTCTAGCTAGTTCCAGGGATCTGTTTGTTTCCTGTGAGTGAAGATTACCAGCAGGCTGCCAGGCTCACTCAGCATTCACATAGGTTCTAGGGAGCTGAACTCTGGTCTTCACATTTACATGGCTCAAAGTGTTTTACCCACTGAGTCATGTCTCCAGTCCCTACCCAAGTCTAATTTTTGAGACAGGGCCTTAAGCTCAAGCTGGCCTCAAAACCCTTGCTCCTTCTCCCCCAGTCTGAGTGCTGGGTTTCTATAGGCCTGTACCATTATGCCCAGCTGTTAAAATATATACTGTATGGGTAAGTTTAGAACAGCAGTTGTCCAAATGTGGCCTGGAGACCCTGGTGGGGTTAAGTGTAGGGTGCTGAAACTAAGACGTGAGATTAAAAAGTACACTGAATGCAGTGGCAGATTAGGAAGGATGAGATAAGGGACAACACTCACACTATCTCCTAATTGCTTTTATGAAGGTCTTATGGAACCATGAACCGGCCTTGTGTTTTGCTAATAATTACCAATTCTAAGTCTTGGTAGGTCTAATTCTGTTGGTGTTTCTGTTGACTCATGCTGTGATTTTTAAATTACAAGCTCATTCTTTGAAACTCAGTTGTGGGTGGGCTTGGGTTGAGAACTACCCTGTTTGGATGGATGCAGGGATATACTGTCAAGCTTGTAACTCTTCAGCACTCACCAAAGTTGCAAAGTTCTAACTCATGTAAGGTCTAGCCAGGAACTACAAATTCTCATTTCTGAGTGTCCTATTTTTGTATGGGTGGAGTATGTTCCTAATCCATCCTCTTCCCTTCCCTATTCTACACAGGATCTGAGGAGGCCTAAGGAGTAGCCAGAGGCTTTGCCCATCACTCTCCCCTGAGTTCATTTTGTTCCTCTACCCCTGTGGAAGACTCCCCTTCTTATAGCACACGGCACTCAGCATGTTTCCACCCTCCTCCATCCTGTCCTGATATTGCAGGACGTAGGATGGTGTCTAGCCCACCACACTGGCCCACCTTTACTCCTCAAATCAGCAAAAACAAAGATAACCATACATCTGTGGAATGAGAAGATGACCCCTGAGAGAGAACCCCTGCCCTATCCCCAGCCCTGGGACTCACCTTGTAACAGGTGACCTGCTCCAGCGGCCGGGGTCCCCGGTTGCCTGTGCTGCTGTTTTGACTCTGCATGACCCCAATGACCTGCGGGGCTCTCTGCTGATTGGGAGAAGAGTTCTGACTCGTTAACTGGATCAAGGAGGACGACCTTTGTAATGGCGGATTGTTACTTTGCTGGAAAGAGTTACACAACACGGTTTTACTGTGGAAAACACGTGCACGCGGACTACCGATGGGGACAGGAAAAGAGGGCGGGACCATTCCCGCATGACTGGCAGGAAGACGGCTTCTGCCACGGCCCGTCTCAGGAGTGGGCACAAAATAAAGTTCTGGTGATGACGGCAGGAGCTGCTGCCCAAAAAACACCATGCAGACACACAAAAACGAAAACTAAAAGTTGAAAAGAAAACATTGAAGAGACAAGAGGAGGTCTCTGGGGCAGTGGGGTAAGGGCATGATCAGGCCTTACTTTTGTTTCTGAGGTTCTAGCTTCAGGTCAGGATGAACGCTTGGTTCAGCCAGATGTTTAGCAGCCTACACGGCGAGCAACAGTCATAGAAAAACAGTTGGAGCCTGACACACTGACCTGCAGCCTAGGGGCTGAGGGCCCTCCTCTGGGGAGTCACTTGAGAAAGGGGGCAGGGCACCTATGCTGGGGATTCCAGGGTAAGACCATCTCCAACCTGGTAGGATCTTAGCTCTGGTCACTTTCTTCATGAAGGGACTAATTGGATTGCTGCTACTACCTCCTGAGGGTGGGGGTCTGTAGGCTCCTCAGTCTCTAGCACTGGCAAGAATGGAAGGGGATGTGGCACCTTACTCAAAGGCCAAACAGCTAAAGTGAGGCTTGAGGAAGCATGGCCAGTTTATGTAGAGGGCCTGTTGGATGCCCTGTATGAGACACAGGGCAGCCCTTCATCTGGGCCCACTCCTGCCATGAAGTTCAGGGTCCCCTGGTTTGAGTGCGCTGCCGAGTACTCCATCTGTCTATGGCATTTCTTTCTACTCATGCTTGTGGGGACAGACTGACTGAACTGTGGGGTATCTGGAGCTGGCTAATCCTTTACTCCTGTTTGTGGCAGGAATCCCCATAGGTGCTGCACTGCATTGGCCAGAGAATAGTCGGCCTCGGTGATGCCCCTCAGAAATCCCTTCCTCTCGAAGTCCAGGCTTCCTCTTTGTAAGGTCTGACTCAGAAGCAAGAGCAGCCAATGTGTCCCCCTTCCCCCAGCTCCCAAGGCAGACTCTGCTGAGCTACCACTCTGCTGAGTGACTCTCTCACCACTTGAACCTCACCCTCCACCCTGCTTTCTAGTCGCTTCACTGAGGTTCTAAGTTAGAGGCAGGAAGGGAAGGGGCCACAGGGGAACTGAGGTGGGACGGGTGCCTCGAGAATAAGCCAAATGCAAGAACTGGACAGCATTTCCCTTCTCTCTTGCCTCCCCTGGCTCAGATGGTCCCCAGCTGGGCAGATCTCACACTGAGCTGGGCAATGAAACTCTCTGCAGGGCTGGTGTGACAGCAGAGGAGCCAGGGCACAATACCTTTGTTGGAGGCTGCGTCTGCTGTGGCAGTGGGGGCTGCTCAGTGGTTCCCATGGGCAGTTCAAATCGAGGGCTGGTCAGAGAGGAAGACGTAGGCATGAGAGGAGGGAGGCCACGTGGTTTGTGAAAAACCACACCTAGCCTCTGAGCAAGCAAAAGCAACCCAAGCTTTGGGACAGAGTGGGGCTAGCACCCAGTGAGGACCCTTGGAGCTGCAGGAATGGCAGAAATAAAAGAACCAATGGAGGAACCTTGGGCAAGGGCTGTGCCAAGAAAGGAAGCATGACCATCCTGGTACCCATGCTGTGCTGAAGAGGAGGCGTGCATGGATGCCCCTTCCCCTTGGGAATCCCACAGGAGTGTCAGCACCTGACGATGCAAAGACACCTGGTGACACACCCACCTGCAAGCAGGCATCCCTGCATCAGGGATAGGGAGCAGGACCCAGTGGCAGCCCTGGTCACTTGCCCTTGGTAAGGTAGGGACCACAGCCCCAACTAACCAGGCACTATGTTCCTGCTGCAGGTTGGGCAGGATAGCCAATGGCATGGGACAGGGAGGCTCTTCTGCAGTCCCTGAACCTCAGACAGAAACCAATTCGCAATTACGAAGTGACACATGTGCTCAGGGTTCCTGAGGAAAAGGCAGTGCACCTGAGAGAGGGGCGCTAATTCTGTCAGGCAAGAAGCACTCTGCTTTAGAGGCCCAGGGACCTGCATTTGAGCAGGTGCCACCACCCACCCACCATTAGTGACTGAGCCCTGAGCCTTTGTAGGGTTTGCACATGGGAAATGACCATTCTTCCTTTTCTTCCTGGAACACAGCCTATAGCTTTCAGCAGATTCCTGGATGGCCCATGACCCATGGGAGGCTAAATGCTGGGCTAGCAGAGCTGCCTTTGGGCTCTTCAAGCAGCAGTCAAGCAGTGGTTCCTCCCCCATTGTGCAGCCTGTCCAGACCCTTGGGTGGCCCCCACCCAGAGACCCAATCCCAACTCCACCTGGGAAGCACCCAGAGGGTGGCACTAGGGCCAGCTACTCACTGCATGAATTTACACGACGGCCCCTCGGGGCAGAATCCCACGAGGTAATTCACACAGATGACCCTTCGAGTGTGCCGGTGCCTGCATAGGGGACCTGCAGAGCCCAGCATTCAGGTCACTCAACCATTCTGTCTATTGGGCAATGCCTAAGTGTCCCCACTACCAGTCAGAGCCCTGCCCAGACTGCCTAGGGTGCACAGAGCCAGAGTGTGGCTTCAGATGGGCCTTCACAGGGACAATATGCAGAATTCAACGTCTCCACACTGGTCAAATCAAAATAAATAAATAAATACAGCAAAATCCTCACTGGTCGGGTTTTGCTAGGCCAGCCTGGGCAGTAAAGTGATATGCCAAGAGGACCAATGGCAGCATTGGGCATCAGGAGGGCAGAGGAGGGCTCCCGTCACCTACCATGCTTACAGAAGCCGCGGTCGTACCAGGGGCAGTCCTTGATCTTGGACTCGGGGTCAATGTGCAGGAAGGGGCACTCCTTGTTGCTGCACTCCCCTGCAGGAAACGTGAACACATGGCCTCCTGCTACTGTGCCAGGATGGCTCCCGAGGCCAAGGGGATGTGGGTCTAGTGTCCAGGACTGACCTGCCTAGGACCTAGCTGGGGGCAAGTCTGTGGGGCTGTGACAAGTCCTTCCTCCACATCCTTCAGGATTGCTGGGAAGGCACTAATGGAGCTTGGCCCAGGGCATCCTGGCAAGGTGGGGGACCAGACATTCAAGTGCACCCACTGAGACCAGGAAATCACTGTTCTACTGACTGACTCTTCACATCTATGTGCTATGATAGGGAAGGTCTGAAGAACTATCTTAGGAGAGACACAAGGATTACTTGGGAGTTCAAGGCTAGGGCCCTGTGGTAGCATGGGTAAACTCTGCTGATGACAATACACGTGGACTAGCACCTCTCAGGAGCAATCAACCCGGCTGAACCCAAGCATGGGGAAACACCTCTGGGTGACTGTCTGACCCCACCCCCTGCTGGCTGCCCTCTGCTATCAATGCTAACACACTCTGCTTGGAGAGCAGAGAAAATGCAAACTCCTGCCCAGTCCTCTCACCTGTACCCCTTTTATTTATAGGCCCAGTGTCCCTCACCCAGCAACACTGACTCCCCCGTGGTCTAAGATGAACCTTCAGTCACTTCTATCGCCTTAGCTTCCAGCTTGGGCCCAGCTCAGGACTCCCCTCTGGGGGCCTCCCAGATCACTCAGCCTGAAGCCAAATCCATGGAGTATCTTATCACTGTTCATTTCTTTCATGGCACTTTCCATAACCAGTTCTCTGTATCATCCCCCTGGTTTATCAGCTTCCTGGCCCTGGGTCACTGGGGCAAAACTCTGCTGGATAAGGACAGGTGGCCTGTCCTCTTTACTACTCTCTCTGAGGCACCTAGAAAGGGACCCTCAACACAAGTGTGGGGCTCAGCTGACAGGAGCTTTGGACAGCATCTGCACAAGGCAAGTTGTGCTGTATGAAGGACAGATAAACAAAGGGAACATTACAGACATGGGTGTATCCTCTTGCCATGAAGGAAGGATCCCCCCAAGACAGCCTCTAGAGGTGTCCCCAAGGGAGAGCTCTTGAGGCCAGATAGGCTGCTCTGCCTCATTCTAGTAGTGCTATGGGTGAGGAGCTGGGGGAGGATGTGCTATAAATGTACCAGATAGGAAAATCTTGAGACAGCAGGGAGCAGGGAAGCCTGTGTCCTATTTCTGTGTGCTTGGACCTCTCAGCCTTATACTATGACAACAAGACAAGTCACAACTATCACTAAGAAGTCAGCGGTCAAAGCCAAAGTGGAAACTCAGCCCTTTTATCCCAGCACTTAGGATGCTGAAGCAGGAGGATCACTGTAATTCAAAGCCATCCTGGGCTATATTGTAAGTTCTAGGCCAATCTGGGTTAGAGTGAAATCCTTTTTTAAAAAACCAAAACCTAAGCTGGGCGTGGTGGCACACACCTTTAATCCCAGCACTCGGGAGGCAGAGGAAGGCAGATCTTTGTGAGTTCGAGGCCAGCCTGGTCTATATAGTGAGTTCCAGGACAGCTGGGGATACAGGGAGACCTTCTCTCAAAAAGCCAAAAAAAAAAAAAAAAAAAAAAAAAAAAAAAACCCAAACCCAAACCCAAACCTGCCGAGATGTGGAAATATTTAACATCTTCTCTTTCTGAAAGTATGAAGCGTGCCAAGCACTCAGCTCACCTCAAAGCCTTTAGGAGGCTTCTGACCTTTCCTCTACTCTCTGGCCTCTGCACAGGGCATAGGGCTAGAACAGACCTTGAGCTGACCATCAGAACTTCTTCACTGGACACATCTATCAGCAGACCGGTGATCGCTGGCCCTAAGTTCTACACCAGACCCACCACCTCCACTCTGCCACCTGTTTCTCCACGCAGAACATGGGAGGCCTCCTGCTCTCTAGTCAAAGCTCAAAGCAATCTTAGTTTCATGAGAAGAATAGGCTCACACCACCAGAAGACAGCCCAGACCTGCTACTGAGGCCTGCTGGGACAGCTATGCTATTATCTCGCATCACACCCCAGAGAGAAGGAGTCCATTCAAGCCTGGAGCTCATCAGTGACCATGCTAGGAGATGTGGACTTCAGGGATAAGGCTGCCATGAGCAGACATAAGGTCTCTAGTCAGCTGCACTTCTCACTTGATCACTGGGACCCATTAAGTCTTTTTTTTTTTTTTTTTAGGTGGGGGTCGTTTTGAAACAGGTTCTCTCTGTAGCCCCAGCTGGCCTTGAACTCAGAGATCCACCTGCCTCTGCCTCCCAAGTGCTGGGATTACAAGCATGCCACCATACCCAGCTGACCCGTTAGTCTTAATGTCCCCAAATACTTGAAAGTGCTCCAAACCCTTGAGTGCCACAATCAGATCTCCTTACTGAGGAACCAGTTCAGGCTACCAGGCACTCCCCAAGTTCTGGAAAGATGGGAGAAGACAGAAAGATCCAGCAGACTCCAAGTCCGAAAAGCCTCCTGGGATTTCACAAGCCTTACCAAACTTGGAGTAAAAGTAGCACTCAGGCATCTTGGTCATGTCGTACTCATGCAAGAACTCACACTGGTCCCCTTTCTTGCAAAGCCCTCGCAGCCAGTGTTTGCACACGACTGTCTTCTCACCGCTGATGTGGCGGAATGGGCACATGCCTCCTGCCAAGGAAGAGGGGATGGGCTGTAAGGAGAGAAGCAGGCTCAGGGGGAACTGACCCAGGGGAGCTGGAGAGCTTTCCCCCCACAGTTCCCTGAACCATCTGGAATCAGCAGTCCTGGAAGGTGGCAGAGGTATCCCTGCAGAAGAAGTGTGGCTTTAGGCGGTATAAGGGCAAACACTTCAAATTTTAATAGCTGTGTATTTTAGTTTAATGTGTTTTGGAAAAATGCAACTTAAATGTCTGTTCATAATTTTACAGACACTACTATAAAGATGGAGTATAACCACCCTTGGGTAGGGGCAGAAGGCGGGTCAGTTGATTCCTTAACAGTTCTAGGGGCTAGAGAGATGTCTCAACAGTTAAGGGCACTTGGCTGCTCTTGGAGAGGACCCACCTGCCTCTGCCTCCCAAGTGTTGGGACCTAAAGGCGTGCGCCACCACACGCAGCTGGTTTTATTCTCTTGAGACAGAGTCTCACTATGCAGCCCCATCTGGCCTGAAACTCAACTATGCAGACCAGGTCAGCCTAGAGCTCTGCCTGCCTCTGTATTGTGGAATTAGAGGCATGGACCACCACACTGACTGAATACACCAGACTCACTGTTCTCTGTGATTTCTTAGCCAAAGACAATGCCTATCAAACTCTTTTCCAGGGTCCTGTTGACACTAACCAGGCCCCAACAGAGGACTATCCAGACTATCCATTAATTCCTAAGTGTTACTGGGCAGGACCTTACATGCGTACCACAAATAGGTCTGAGTATTTTCTTCACTATGAGGAAATTAATTTAGAAAACTAAATTTTTTTTTTTTTTTGGTATATTTGAGACAGGGTCTTCCTGCAGCCTCAGCAGGCCTGGTCACTATGTAGACAGGTTAGCCTCAAACTCACAGAGGTCCGCCTGCCTCTGCCTCCAGAGTGCTGGGATTAAAGGTGTGTACCACCATGCCTAGCAAAACTAAATTTTAATCAGAAGCAGACCCAGACTAAATGAGTGGAATTTCGTTTGGGCGTTTATTTGCTTGTATGTTTTGAGCTAGGTCTTATTATGTAGTCTTCAGTGGCCTGGAACTCACTATGTAGAACAGGCTGGCCTGGAACTCTCAGAGATCTACCTGCCTCTGTCTTCCAAATGCTGGGATTAAAGGCATGTACTAACATGCCTGGCCAGAGGGGTGATTTTAATGGATGAACTGGTTCTGTGAGTTTGAGCTCTGCAGTGCAGTTACTTGCTGCTGAAGCAAGACTTTCCAGGTAGATCAAGCAGCGACTTCAAGGCATCTGGTCAGGCATCACTCCCCAATTGGGGTCCTGGTCTCATTCCCACATACTTGCTCACCTATTTCTCTCTGACGGGTAGTAGGTTGGGCCCTGTAGTTGTTCTCTCGAACCTTAATAAAATTGTCCTCAGGCTTCCTTGAGTCTGTTTTTAAAATATTTTATTTATTATTTTTATGTGTATGAGTGTATTGCCTGCATGTATGTGAGTGCACCCGTGTCATGCAATGCCACGGAAGTCAGAAGGCGGCTTCGGATTCCCCTGGAACTGGAGTTAAGGATGTTTCGTAGCTGCCATGTGGGTGCTGGGAATCAAACCCAGTTCCTGCAAAGAGCAGTCAGTGCTCTTAACCGCTGCGCCATCTTGCCAGCCCCTTGAGTCTGTTTTTAAATTCTTTTATCAATGAGACTAAGAACTCCAAAAGAGAACCTCCGTTTCCCAGGTAACATACAGCACCCAGTGTGAGGCTTCTGAAATACCCCCAGTTACATGACAACCCACCTTCTGTTACTACAGCCATCCTTAATTCATGGCACTACAGTTGTCCTGTAGCCACTAGCCACATACATGTGCCTACTAATTAAAAAATTCAAAATGTAGTTCCTTGGTCACACCATTGATGATTCAAAGTTCTTACTAGCTGAGGTTGGCTTGTGGCCCCTATGTTGGACAGCAGAGTTGTATGACATTTCCTTCCAATGTTGGCAGAAGTTCTACTGGTCTAGATCTTTCTGAATCAAAGCCTTACTCTAGTCAGACCTCCCCAGGGGTAAGCCATCAGAAGTGTGACATCCCCAGAGTGTGTCATCCTACTAGAGAAAGACACTGTCCCTTGTTTGTATATGTCACACGTCTTTGGTTCTAAAGTTGATGCTAGTCTTGAAGCTGTAGGGGTACTTTTTAACAGGACACAGCCTGCCTGTGTCTAGGATTCCACTAATGGTCCTCTATCCTTTAAAGGCTTCTGAATCCCCTCTTTTACTACCTATACAATTTTTCCATTTTTCTTTTTTTCAGTATTTTTTATATGTATGAGTGTTTTACCTGCATGTATGTATATGCCCCGTATGTATGGAGACCAGAAGAGGGTGTTGGATCCCCTGGAACTGGGATTTGAGCTAGTTTTGAGCCACCATGTGGGTACTGGGAACTGAACCCAGGTCCTCTGCAAGAGCAGCCAGTGCTCTTAACCACTGAACCAGCTCTCCAATCCCATTTTTCTATTTCTAGTTCTGTGTGCCACTAGAACTGTTTGTTCTAGTTCTGTGTGCCACTAGAACTGTGAGTTCAAGGCCAGCCTGGTCTAAAAAAAAAAAAAAAAAAAAGAATAAAACCAAAAAAGTCTGCAAAAAATAGTCAGAGATTGTGGGGTGTGGTAGCACACATCTTTAATCCCAGTACTTGGGAGGCAGAGCAGGTGGATCTCTGTGAGTTCAAGGCCAGCCTGGTCTACATAGTGAGTTCCAGGACAGCTAGGGCTATAGAGAGACCCTGTCTCAAAAAGACTGGAAAAAAAAAAGAGATTGGACTTGGCCATGGGTAACTGTGGGACCACGAGAAAGGTCATGAAACCCTCTATGCCACTCTGTCTACATATATGAAAGGGAAGAGTGACACAAGAAGGCAGCCTGAGCCGGGCAGGAACAGTCTGTGATTAGGTTTTGGGCAGAACAGCTCAGCAGTCTCCTCTCCTAGCCTATCCAAACCACAGCGAGGGACACATCTACAGAAGGCAATGCAAGCTAGATACTTTGGTGGCCTATAAGTCAGCTAGAGGTCAAAGTAGTGACAGGGCATCTTTCAGGAAAAAGGTTGGGAAGTCTTAGGGGTTTCTTACCTTTGCCACAGGCTGCTTTCAAAAAGAATTCACACACAGCAGCTCCCGACTCTATAGACAGGAAGGAAAAGAATCAGCCATCAACCAAAGCCAGGTACCAAACCTACTTGACATGACTGGAGGAAGATGCTCTTGTCATCTTCCACCCAGGGTGTAGGCAACAGTGGCAAAAATACAAACCCCAACCAAGTCAGGAAAAACCCACCCACTACAGACATAACCTGCAAAATGAGATAGACATAGGGTGAGCCAGAACATCACAGGAAGCCACGAGCTTCCAAGGAACTTAGGAGTGGGTGGGGAGCATAAGATCACAGATATTAATTACCCCCAGCTCAGACTTCCCAGGAGGGCTAATTTATGGGTACATTAGCGTGAGACAGAGGAAATACCAACAATGTGGTAGATGAGACGGATTCCAGATAACAGGCACTAGTCTAGATGGAAGAACACAAACCAAGAAGCAGGCCTATTCTTAATATGCAGAATCCACAAATAATTCCAAAGGAGCCTGGCCTCTCATTCCCACAGGTGCAATCGGTTGTAGGGAGGGGAGTATTACTACCGAGGCAGAGTGTGGCCGAGGTCAGTGGGTCCTGACCAGCTGTTGTGACTAGTTCAGAAATTTAACAGTCATGGGTCTTAAGGCAAACTTCTTTTTTAAAAATGGAGCATCCAAGTATATTTTTTTTTGAGTTCTCTCTCTCTCTCTCTCTCTCTCTCTCTCTCTCTCTCTCCCTCCCTCCCTCCCTCCCTCCCCTCTCCCTCTCCCTCTCCCTCTCTCTGGTCTTTTTGAGACACGATCTTCCTGTAGCCCCAGCTGGCCTGGAACTTGCTATATAGACCAGGCTGGCCTTGAACTCAGAGATCCACTTGACTCTGCTTCCTGAGTGATGGGATTAAAGGCATGCACAACCACACCCGGCTCTTTTTGAGAATCTCATACACAGGGAACAAACTGTTCCTGGCTTCATTAATAGTTTCCATAGGCATTTCAGATAACAAACAAACCACCAGATGTGGCATCACCAAAGCCCATTCTTGTACCTCCTTTGCTAACTTCTTTTAATCCCAGTATTTGGGAGGCTGAGGCAGGAAGATTTGAAGTTCGAGAATAGCATGGGCTACATAGCAAATTCCAGGCCAACCCAGTAAGACTGTCTCAAAATACAAAAGCAAAACAAACAAAAACAAATAAAATATAGAGGCTGGGGATGTAGCTCAGTTGGTACAGTGCTTACCAAGCACGTAAGACACCCTGGGTTCAACCTCCAGAACCACATAAACTGGGTGTGGAGGTGTATGCCTGTAATCCCAGCATTTGGAAAGAAAGGAGGATCAGGAGTTCAAAGCCATCATTGGCTATTATGAGTTGGAGGCCAGTCTGGGATACATGAGAACCTGTCTCAAAACAAAAATAGCAAGAGTGTGGTTCTTCCTTCTTCTTAGAGGCTAGGGTTGTTGCATTCCTTTAAGTCGGAAATTCAGTCTTGGGAACTTGGATGGGGCTATAAAGAAGATGGGATGAGTATGCCTTAAGGGCAGAATATACAGTTCTCAAGAAAGAACCACAGAGACCAGTGAGGAAGGGCTGTAGCCTTGCCAAGCTTTAGCAGACTCAACACACTCACAAACACGCAGTGAGGGCTGAGGGTATCTCCCTGGAACTGGGCTGGGGCATCATGCTATGCACAACTCTGGCTCTCCCAAGGAAGAGGTACTTGAGGGCCACACTACTGCACCTGCTTCTGCAAGCATGTGGATCTGTGATGCCGGGTGTGAGAAAGGTGGAAGAAAAGAGCTGCCCCACGGCCTCAAGGTAATGCTATCAAGACAGGCAAAGGCCTCATGTTCAAGAGTGCGCCAGCACAACGTGGTCAAAGGTGTTGAGGGGTAGGTAATTAAAGTGTGTGTCTGAATTTGAGCAGCTGCTTGTTAAGAGGTATTTGTGTGATAGGCATGCTGACACACACACCTGTAATCCCAGAGCTAAAGGAAAAGGACAGTAATGCCAGCTTGGGCTACCACAGCAAGACCCATCTCCAAAACACCACCAAGGGCTAGAGAGATGCCTCAGGGGTTAAGAACACTGACTGCTCTTGCAAAGGACCCAGGTTTGGTTCCCAGCACCCACATGGCAGTTAACAACTGTTCCTAACTCCAATTCTAGATCTGATGCCCTCTGAGGGCATTGCACAGACATGTGCACCTAAGTACATGCAGGCAAAACACTCATACGTGTAAGATTTTTTAAAAAAATTAAAATACCACCACCACCACGGAAATGATGGATGTGTGCATAAAATTAAGTGGTTTGAAATACGTCCCTTGGTACAACCACTGTCATGCACAGAAATATCAGCAAGAGGGGCAGACTTAGATGTTGGGTACCTGACCAGGGTGGACAGAGTGAGGATGTAGAGACCTGGGAGAGCACCACTGCAGACCTTTAGCAGTTGAGGAAGACAGCTGGGTACTCTAGAGGTCTCCAGGCCCTGTCTTATAGAGACTTTCAGCAAGTCCCTTCCACACCTGGTCCCCAAGGTTCCCACCAATAGACTGAACTCAGTGATCTTTAAAAGCCCTGAGCTCCAGTTTCTAACATTAGATTTAAAGTATAACTAGATAGGAATGGAGAAGGAAAGTAGTTGTTTCTCTCCAAAGTATAAGCCACCCCATCACGTAGAGAAGCAGCAAAGAGAGCTCAGGCTACCAGTCCTGCTTGCAATAAGTGAACCGGAGTTGGGGCAGTAAGGAAAAAAAAGCAAGGGCAGACCCAGAACTAGGAAGAAGCATCCAGGAGTCCGAGGGTTTACTTTGGTGGGGTGTCCGGCAGTGAAAGAGACTCTCCTCCTTCACTAGTGGCCCGGTTCGGATGAAAGCGAAAAAGAGGGCGCTCAATGGGGTGGAAGTCGGGGGACATTCTACGACTTTGCTCTAGTTGAAGGAGCGTGGGAGCCGGGGGGAGGTTCCACTCCAGGATCACCTGCGTTCGTTGAAGAATTCGTATACAACGGACAGGACACGGTCCTGCTCTCACGAGGACTGTCACGGAGCAGCCTCCAGGGGCATCAAAGATTCCAGGAAAGGGATCCCAAGTTCAAGATGGGATGGGGGAGCACCCCAGGCTGGGAAGAGGGCCTGGGCGAGGGAGAGGGTCCCTGGGGTTTGGAGGGTGGGAAATCCCGGATGAATCGGTGCCGCCACCCGCCGGGGCCCCTCGCTCACTATCCATGCCGGGGAAGGGCAGCGGCTGCGCCCCGAGCTGCTGCTCCACCGCAATCTCCAAGTCGAACTTGATGTGGTCCACGCTGGCGATGATTTCCTGCATGGCTGCGGCGACGGCCTCCTGGCCCGGCTCCCCTCGGGTCTCTTAGCCGCTCTCACGCCACTGCCCGCCGCCCACTGCGCCTCCCACCACTCTTCTCTGGCTTCTCCTCCGCCTGGCCCGCCGCTGCAGCCGCCGCTGCCACCGCCGCCGCCCCGCGAGGGATGCCGGGAGTTCCCCTAGCCCGCGCCGGTCCTTTTCCCCCTTATTGAGACCTGGCCAGTAGAGCGCCGAAGCGCGCGCAGCCTCCAGGCCTGACTAGCTAGCCTCCTGATCTACAATGAGCCAGTGAAGCCGCGATGCAAAGTGCGCCTGCGCGAGCCCTGGGAGCCGCGTGCCTGGGAAACAAGGTGACTGAGTCGCAGCCCCGCGACTCTTCCGGGTGAGTTCCTGTTCGATCCTCGTGGGACTCCCGAGATTGGCCCTGACTGACAGTGTTCCGAGGCCGGGCGGTCAAATGAGAAGGCCTGAGAGGAGTCAGGGTGGACGGCTTCAATTCGTCTCCAATTCAGAGGTTTTATATTAAAACCTGGGGGAGGGCCGGGCTTGGTGGTGCACACGTTAATCCCAGCACTCTGGAGGCAGAGGCAGGAGGATCTCTGTGAGCTCAAGGCCAGCCTGGTCTACATAGTGAGTTCCACGCCAGCTGGAGCTACAGGGAGACCTTGTCACAACAAAAACCTGGGTAAGGGAGCTAGAGGAGACTCAGTTCGTAGAGAATTTGCCTGGCATGCAGGAAACCCTGGGTGCACATCTGTAATCCAGGAGAAGCAAAATTTTAAGACCATTCTCAAGTATATAGCGAGTTCCAGGCCAACCTAGGCTACGCGGAGACCCTGTCTCAAAAAAAGAAAAAGAGTAACAGAAAGGAAAGTCCATCTTTATTTTCTCTGTGAAATTTAGCATTTATTTCCAGAACTGCTAGACCAATGCTAGCCTGTGATTAAGTCATAACATCTAGTGGCTAGTGCCATGATAGAGTTTCCATGGCAACTCCAGAGTGACCACTCAAGTTTCCATTTACAGTAATTTCTTCTTTGACATTACTATAGCATCTTGTTTTTTAATGCATCACAAAAGAATCACCAGGCTGGGCATGGTGGCACATGTCTTTAATCCCAGCACTTGGGAGGCAGAGGCAGGCTGATCTCTGTGAGATCAAAGCTAGCCTTGTCTACACAGCGAGTTCCAGGCCAGCTGAGGCTACAGGGAGACCCTGCCTCAAAAAGACCAAAAAAAAAAAAAAAATTTTGAAAATGCTAATAATAATATATTTAGCCTAGTATATTTGAAATCATGTTTAAAAACATTACTAATGTGTGTTTTACATTCTGTTTTCTATGCAAAGATTTTGAGGTTGATTTTTATTTTTTGGGTTTTTTTGAGACAGGATCTCCATGTTGTCCCACCAGGTGTGGAACTTGTTATTTAGACCAGGCTGGCTTCTATCTCATGGCGATTTGCCTGTCTCTGCCTTCCAGGTGCTGGGATTAAAGGTGTAGACCACCATGCTGGGCTTTCTATGCAAAGATTTGAAATCTAGTGTGTATCTTATATCTCCATTCAGAGCTGCCACAGTTCAAGTGTCAGTAGCCACATGTGGCTTAACATATGTCTTATCTGTTTGTCCAAATATGGGGGCTGGAGAGATGGCTCAGTGGTTAAGAGCATTGACTGCTCTTGCAGAGGACCAGGTTGAGTTCCCAGCACCCACATGGCAGCTGACAACCATCCATAACTCCAGTTCCAGGGGATCCAATGTTCTTTTCTGGCCTCCATGGGCTTTGCATGTACATAGTACACTTACATATATGGAGGAAAAACATGCATACATATAACTTTTTTTTTTGGTCTTTTTGAGACAGGGTATCTCTGTAGCCTGAGCTGGCCTGGATTCACTATGGAGACCAGGCTGGCCTTGAGCTCACAGAGATCTGTCTGCCTCTGCCTCCCAAGTGCTGGGATTAAAGGCATGAGCCACCATGTCTGGCCACATACAACATTTTTTTAAAAAAAGAAAAAATAGCTGGGCTACAACTTTGGAACGCCTCTTACTTTAAAAAATTGCTTATGTATATCAGTGTTTTGCTTGCATGTATGTGGTGTACCTCATGCGTGCAATGCCCACAGAGGCCAGAAGAGGGTATCAGATCCCCTGGAAATGGAGTTAGGGATGGTTAGAGGGCATGTGGTTGCTGGGAAGTGAGCCCAGGTCCTCTGCAAGAGTGGCCAGTGCTCTTGACTACTGGACCACCTCTTCAGCTCACTCTTCTTGACTTTTATGACTGTGAGTGTGATTTGGCTTCCATATTTTTCTTAATTTCAGGCTGTAGTGGAACAGGAAAGCCAGTGATGGACCTCGTGAGACTTGCCCGACTCTTTTCTGGCCCCAGCCCCACAGGACTGTGTGCCCTTCAACACTTGGACCTTCTCAGATTCACCCAATGGGCACTAGGCAGGGAGGCATTTCCATGGCTGAGAGCCCCATGGTCAACTTGGCGAGTGTCAGCTGCCTTCCAAAGCTCTGCCTTCTATAGCTCGTCCTCTGGTCTGCCCTTGGGCCAAGAGAGCCAGAAGAACCTGGGTAGCCTGTGTTCTGACAGGAAGCTCAGTGCCACTGCCTCTCAGGAAGAAGAGGATGAAGAGGACTTTGGGACCCTTTCAGATAAATACTCCTCACGGAGAATATTCCACAAGTCAACAGCCCAGCTGTATAACCTAAGGCTCAAAGAACAGAGTTTTGAGGAGGATGAGGAAGTGGAGCCCAAATTGTGGCAGGGCCGGAGGAATACTCCCTACTGGTACTTCCTTCAGTGCAAGCATCTGATCAAAGAGGGAAAGGTGAGGGAAACTTACATTCGCTTGCTTGCGTTTTAAATTTTTTGTTTTAATTTCATATGTTTTACCTGCATGTAGGTATGTGTACCATGTGTGTGCATTGCCCATGGAGGCCAGAAAAGGGTGTCAGATCCCCTGGAAGTAGAGTTACAGATGGTTATAACTGCCGTGTGGGTGCTGGGAACTGAACTTGTGTCCTCCGGAAGAGCAGCCAGTGCTCTCAATTGCTGAGCTATCTCTCCAGCCCAAGATTCTACTTTCTGCTGGCTCTGTATTTTATATAGGGCAGTGCTGTAGTTTGGGGTGCTTAGTGCTCTTTCTCTGGACCTTTTCTCTTTTGTCTTCACTCAGCTTGGAGACCCACCAGCCTCCTGGCCGTGTGTGTGCCCTGGCTACTACACTTTCTACCTTCTTGTCTCTAGGCCAACAAGTCTTTCTGTGGACTCTTGTGTATCCAGCTTCCTCTTCCTCATCTCCTTTATGCTTATCTACACCGACACTTGTTCAAATCCAAGCCTGAAATTTGTTCATAACACTCTTTAAACAAAAAAGATTATTATTGGGCCAAGGCATGGTGGCACAATGTTTTAATCCCAGCCGTTGAGAAGCAGAGGCAGGAGGATCTCTACGAGATCAAGGCCAGACCAGTCTGCCTAGCAAGTTCCAAGACAGCAGGACTACACAATGAGACCTTGTCTAAAAAAAAACCTTTTGTGTGTGTGTGTGCACATGCATGCATGCATGCAGATTTGTGTGCATGTGGAGTTGATTCTCTTCTACTTTTATGTGGGTCTGGGGTATTGAACTCAGGTTGCCAAGCTTGCCCAGCAAGCTGCCTTTGTCTGCCTAGCCATCTTGCCAGCCCCCAGCTCTCTGTCTCAGTGCATGGCAATCCCATTAGTCTTTTGTCCATATCACATTTCCTCCTGTATGCTTTATTCTTCTTTACCAACTTTGCCTCTAAAGTGTCCGTAGTAACTATTCCTTCTAGCCCCATTATGTTGAGACCATCTTATTGCCCTGGTATTCACTGTGTAGCTCAGGCAGACCTTAAATTCATAATCTTCTTGCTTTAGCTTCTGTTTTGTTTTTTGTTTTTCTTTGTTTGGTCTTTTTGAGACAGGGTCTCCCTGTAGCCCCAGCTGGCCTGGAGCTAGCTAGCTGTGTAGTCCAGGCTGGCCTAGCTCTCAGAGAGATCCACTTGCCTCTGTCTCCTGTGTGCTGATTTAAAGCTGTAGCCTGGCCCCAGCTTTGCCTTTTTTATTTCATTTATTTCATTGTTTACACACACACACACACACACACACACACACATACACACACACACACACACATACACACACACATACACACACACAGAAGAGCATGCCAAGGTGCATTTGTGGAGGTCAGAAGGCAACTTGAAGTTCTCTCTTTCTACCATGTGTGTTCTGGGATGGAACTGGGATCAAGCTTGGTGGCAAGCACCTTTACCCTCTTTCTCTTTTTTTCCCCTTTCTGAGACCAGGTTTCACCTAGAACTTGTTATGTAGCCCAAACTGGAGATGAGATCCTCCTGCTGGGATTATAGGCACAAGCTGCCATCCTCAGTTTATTTCTCTTTCTGTGCCTATCTTTCCCCACCAGAACACAAGCTTATGAGCAAGCTCTCTTGTCCACTGCCTCCCCAATGTTTGGGCCTTGCTAGACTCATGCTAGGACTCAGTAACTATTATGTAAATAAACAGATAAGAATTATTAAGGCATGAGGGGCTGGAGAGGTGGCTCACACTGGTGCCCGGTGTGGTAGCTCATGCCTTTAATCCCAGCACTTGGAGAGGTAGAGGCAGGCGGATCTCTGTGAGACCAAAGCCAGCCTGGTCTACATAGTGAGTTCCAGGCCAGCTGGAGTTACAGGAGACCTTGTCTCAAAAAGACCAAAGAAAGAGCATATACCACTTTTCTAGAGGACCCAAATTCCATTCCCAACACCCATGTTGGGCAGCTTAGAACTGCCTGTAACTCCTAGCTCTGATACCCTCTTCTGGCCTTTGCTGGTACCTGCACACACACAGGCACATAAACACACACAGACACTTTTTTTGGGGGGGGCTCTTTTTCAGACAGGGTCTCCCTGTAGCCCTAGCCGTCCTGGAACTCACTATGTAGAACAGGCTCGCCTTGAACTCAGAGATCCGCCTGCCTCTGCCTCCCAAGTGCTGGGAATAAGGTGT